CCAGGGGACAGAGGAGCAGCAGCTTTGTCCCTGGAGTTTCTGGGGTTATGGGGCCAGGTGGTGGCCTGCAGTGGAGGTTCCCAGGGGGTGTCTGGGCAGGCTTTGGGGATCAGCAAAGGGGTCCCAGAGGAAGGGGACCAGAGGAGGGGCACAGATTGGACAGGAAGAGGGTGTTTTCAATAGGTGGGAAGGTCCAGAGCATGGGGCAAGGCGCCCACCCCCCACACACCCCCACGAGGAAAGACATGCTTGTCCCACAGCCAGGCGGCCACTAACCGGCAGGCCAGAGCATTCTCAGTCAGATCTGGGGCTTGGAACCACCAGCTTGCAGGCCTGGAGGCTGGAGTGGTTCAGGGGGTGGCCTGGGCTGTAGGGGGACATGTGCCTAAGGCCTGTAGACATGCCCTGAGGGGTGAGGGGCCCTCCATTCAGTGCCTCCCCCAGCCTCAGCTTAGCCCAGCGTCCCTCGGTCACATGAAGGGAGGTAGAGAGTAAGGGAGGGGCCCAGGGAGCACCCCCACCCTGTATACTCTCACCTGCTCTCGCCCTGGAGCCCCGAGCGTCCTGGGAAACCTGAGCTGCTGCCCGCCCGCTCACTCCGGCCACCGCCATGTTTAATTGAGCACCAGCAGCTGCTGGCCACTCAGCACCGTGGTCACTACCCCAGGCCCCGGCTGGGTAGGGTCCTGGGGCCTGGCCCCTGCCAGCACGGCTCCCCGGCCCAGAGCCCTACTGCAGGATGCCAGAGGTAAAGCGAGGCAGGACCCTGGGGTGTTGATGGGGGACCCTCAGGGCACCATGGGTCTCCCTGTCCCAGCAGGGAGGGCAGGAGGGCAGGCCCCACCCTCTGCCCTCACTGGGCTCCTGCCCCAGCCCCAGCTCCCATCCCTGCGTCTTTGGGTTGGGTGGGGGTGGGGATGGGGGCGGCTCCAGCTTGCTCTGGAATGTGAAAGCAAACAGCAGCACTGCCACTAGCCCTATGGGACAGAAAACAAAACTGCCCAGGCCCAGAATTCTGCCAGCTCCACACTCAGAGGGAGGTAGGGGGAGAGGGGGGCGCTTGCAGGCAGGCCCATGGGGACAGCGCAGTGACTGGCAGCTTGGCTTGCTTGTTCTCTGGCCTGTGCTCGTGCTGTCTTTGAGCCTATTATTGATTTGCCCAACACCCCTGTAAGGCCTCTGACCCCATCAGAAGTCATTTTTGGGTTTGGAGACTGAAGCTTTGCCCAAGATGTCAAAGCTGGAGCTCAGTCACGGGCAGCCTAGTGGGCCCCCAGGGCATGGGCACACAGCGTTTGTCTCTGAGCCCTGGGGTCATCGCTGGGCAGGGACGGATGCCCAGTGTGGGGATGGGGTTCCCACCCACCCACCTCCCCTGTGGTGTTGCACACTGAGGGCCGGAGGCCTTGGGGGTGGTGTCAGTGGCCTCTGGGGGTGGGAGATCAGAGCCGGAGCTTGACCCTGAGTCCCATGTGCCTGCAGGATGTCAATGGGCCCCCAAGGGAGCTGCGGCCGAGGCTTTGCCACCTGCGAAAGGGCCCCCAGGGATACGGGTTCAACCTGCACAGTGACAAGTCCCGGCCAGGACAGTATATCCGCTCCGTGGACCCAGGCTCACCTGCCGCCCACTCTGGCCTCCGAGCCCAGGACCGACTCATCGAGGTACTTGTCACCGAGGCTTCGGAATGCTGGGTGCCCCGTGTGTGTCTGTGCCCGTGTTCCTTATCTGCATGCCTGTGCTTGTGTCACCAGTGTGTGTCTGGGCCCCAGTCCTCCCTGGGAGGAGGGGAGATGCTAGGAACCTGAGCTGGCATTCCTCTGGCTGCCACTGCTGGTGACAACGTTGATGAATATTTGATGCCACACCTGGCTGGGCAGCTCGGGGGGCTGCTGGGGGCCTGCCCTCAGGCAGGGCTGACCCCGTGTTGCCCGTGCAGGTGAATGGGCAGAATGTGGAGGGGCTGCGACACGCAGAGGTGGTTGCCAGCATCAAGGCACGGGAGGACGAGGCCCGGCTGTTGGTGGTGGACCCAGAAACAGACGAGCACTTCAAGCGGCTGCGGGTCACACCCACGGAGGAGCATGTGGAAGGTGGGCTGCTGCCCTGGGAGCCTGGGGGTGGGATGGAGCAAAGGCGCTGGGCAGCCATTGACACACTGTCCCCACAGGTCCACTGCCATCACCAGTCACCAACGGGACCAGTCTTGCCCAGGTGAGAGGGTGGGTGGAAGTGGATAGAGTGGGTCCAGGAGACCGCAGGGGTACCCCTGGGGGTCTCCAGGCCTGAGAGACCCCCCCACTGAGATCTCTGTCCTTGTGTATTTGAGGTTTTGATACCCAATCTGGCCCCATCACTCCCAGCTTTAATGCCGCCTGTGGATCCTGTCATTGGTCAGCCCCACCCCAGCCCCATGGGGCAGGCAGGCAGGTCCCTCCAGTCCCAGGGATGCTGCCCTCACTGTTCCCTCTGCCCAGGGCTATCTGGCTACCTGGAGTCATCCTCGGTCCCGTCTCAGGAAGCTGTCCCTGGCTTTACCCCAGGTGACTCACTCATGTGGTGATTTGTGCATCAGAACTGCCTCTCCCTGTTGTGAGCCAGCCAGGGCTGGGCCACCTGCCTGTTCACTGCTAGGTGTGCAGGATCCTGCCTAGACTTGGCCTACAGCATAGTAGAGTCTTGATGCTCACTGCCAAATGAAGGAATAAATGCAGCTTCGGTGTGTGTGTGTGTGTGTGTGTGTGTCACACCAGTGGCTCTTGGGCAGGGCCCCTGAAGCTATGCCTTGCCCTTGGTTTCCCAGCTCAATGGTGGCTCAGCGTGTTCATCCCGAAGCGATCTGCCTGGCTTAGACAAGAACAATGAGGTAGCAAGTGTCCACCCACCTCTGCTGTGCTCACATACTGGGGGGGCCAGATGCCTTTGGGGTGGGTGTCTGTGGAGCTGTCAACCTGGGCAGTGGGGGCCACCACCTCCAGGGAGCCCTCCTGGGCCCACTGCCCCAGCCTCATCAGGTAGCCTCTGGTGTGAGCTCCCTGGGAAGGGTCACCTTTCTGAGGGCTTGGGTTCGGGGCTTACTCTGGCCACCTGCCCACCCCTAGGATGGCAGCACCTGGAAGCGAGACCCCTTTCAGGAGAGTGGCCTCCACCTGAGTCCCACAGCAGCCGAGGCCAAGGAGAAGGCAAGAGCCACCCGGGTCAACAAGCGGGCGCCACAGATGGACTGGAACCGGAAGCGTGAGATCTTCAGCAACTTCTGAGCCCCTCCCTGCCTGTTTGCCGGACCTTGGGCCTTGCCCCTCAGACCCAGCCCAGAGCTCCCCAAACCTCAGTGGACTGGAGGGGGTGCACCCTCATCCCCAGAAGCAGTGGTGTCCCATCACCACCCAGGAACCAATCCACCCCACAGTGAGTCCCCGTCCTGTCCCCCTACTGGTGGGTGCTGGGGGAGTGTGGCAGCAAGACTGGGGAGAGGGAGCCCCTGATATGAGAAAGGGGGGAGCAGGAGTTTCCCCCCACCCCCATGTGTGAGAGAGAGAGGGAAAGGCAGCGGTGACCCATGGGGCCAGGCCTTTTGCTGCTCTGCCTGGGCCTGCTGACTTAAAGGAATTTGTGGTTTTGCTTTTTTTCCAAAAAAGAGCTCCAGCTCTGCACATGTTTCCACTTAATACCAGAGCCCCCGCCCCCGCCCCCTCAGGACGTGCTCTCTAAATAATTGCAATAAAACAAACCTTTCTCTGCAAACCATTTCCTCCCCCTCAGCTGTAGCCATCCTGATAGGAGTCTCAGGGACTTCCTGGGACAGAGTTGGGGGAGGGCCCGGCTGTGTTTCTGGGCGCTTCAGGTGAGGCTAGGGAGGCCAGATGTAGGAGATTCCCCTCAGCCCCATCTTTGCCCTTTCTGGTGTGTGTGGGGTTCGTTAAGCCAGGCCCCTTTATGACCCCTCCATACCGGGGGTCTAGATGCAGGTCATGGGCTCTCTAAGGGGCCAGAGGATGGAGGACCCCCCTGCCTCTAAAGAGGGTAGCCTCTGGACAGGCCCCTTGTTCCTGTGCCACAGCCCCCATGCCTGGGGAGTGTGGCTGTGTGAGAACCTCCCCCAGCAAGGACTCCAGGCTTTGGGCGCAGCCGCTGCCTGGAGCCCTCCCCCAGGAGACTCCAACTTTGCCCTAAACCCCACCGACATTGCTGTCTGCCCTGTAAGCCATAGCGCATGCGCGCCCTTGGAATAAACAGGCCTTCCTCAGACCCTTGGCTGCCTCTGTCCTTCCTAAGCCGTCAGTTGTGGGGTGGGGGGCTATGGCCCAGGCAGGAAGGCAGCAGCCTGGCAGCTCCTTCCCTGTCTCAGCTGCTGGAAACCAGGCCTCCTGAGCCTCCTCTCCCTGAATCCATCCACCTGGCATCCAAGCCCCGCTTCCCTCTTCCCCTGCCCTTGGAGCCCTGCTTTCCTCTCACCCTTTTTGGCACACTCTGGAGCCCTTGCCCACCTCCTCTGCCTTGTGAGGCCCAGCTCATTTGCTGGCACCTCCCCTGTGAAGACTTCTGGGCCCCCGGCACCCCCTGTTCTGGCACAGCCCCCTGCCACTTCCAGCAGGTACACAAAAGTTGAGTCCTCCTGCCCTGTGGTGCCCAGACTGGGCTTACTGGTGTTCCTTTGGAGGCCAGGTGGCTGTAAGCACTGGGAGTGGGGCCTCCTGGCAGAGGCCAGGCTCAGGGTGCACAAGTTCAGGATGGGGGTGTTTCCAGGCCCTTGGCCAATTGCTGGGGGAGGGAGGGGCCCAGGCCTCAGGCATCCCCAGCGGGTTTCCTGGCAGCTGGCTGCAGCTGGCTCCCACGATCCATCTCCTCTGTCAGGGCTCCTGCAACCCCCACCCCTCCACTACACAGCCTAGATTGTCACGTTCGTCCCCGTCCTGGCCTCCCAGGCAGCCTGTTCCAGACACGTGACACAGGCCAATGCTAAATTCACGCACTCCACCAGGGGTACAAGTCAGACCCCAACTGTTGCAAACCCCCAAGCTTTATTACAACAGGCTGCAGCTCCCCAGCAAAGTTGCAGAACAGACATGGCCTTCAGAGCCCCTGTGCAGCTGGGCACAGGGCCTGGTTGAGGCAGACCTGGCAGCGTGGGCGGACAGGCAGGCAGGTCTGCTGGCCAAAGCCCACCAATAGTCCATTGATCTCGCTCCACAGGTCCCTGTGGGGATGGGAGTGGGTCAATTCGAATAGAGGGAAAGAGGGAGGGAGGGGAACCCCGCCCTGTCCCCACCCTGCTGCAGCACCTGGGCAGCCACTCCTCCAGGGCTATGCGGGTCTCCTCTGGGGACTTTGTCACCTTCTTGGTCCACTTGAGCCGGTTGGAGATTCTGTGCACATGTGTGTCCACTGCTGTTTGGAACACAGGGCATGCTAGCAGGCCCAGACCACACCGTCCCGGCCCACGGCCTCACCCTGAGCCCAGGTCGGTGGGGGGTCTGAGTCTCCCTGGCTTCCTTCCCACCCTGAGCTGCCAAGGAGGGCCCAGAACTGCACAGTCCTGGCCAGGGGCACAAGAGCAGGTCACCAAGCCACCCCTGCTGCTGGGCAGGCACTACAGCCAGAACCCAAAGGACCTGGGTCCTCCACTTGGGGTGCAGGGAGCAGTGCCTCCTGGCTCGGCCACTGGCTGTGGGTTCCAGGCTGGGTGGCAACAGCTTGGCCCAGCGGGCCAACATGAAGTCATTCCCTGCAGAGCCAGCACCTGACAGTGCGTCCATCAGGGACAGAGTGGGGAGCATGGCCAGACCAGCTGCAGCTCTTGTCCACCTGGGCCAAAGCCCCTGCTCCCCTTGGTCAGCAGCCCCAGGGCCCAGCGTGGGCACCCACTCACCGGGGCCTCCGTGCCCAGCCAGCTGCAGTCCCTGTCGCCTCCTCCCATTTGCCAAAGAGAAAGCCAGTCCTTGTGTCAGCTCCCTCCCCTACTGCTAACAAGCCCAGGTAGAGGGGTCACACCCTTGGGTCACTGAGCCTCAGTTTCCTCATTTGTAACATGGAAGTGACCGTGCTCCCTGTCACCCAGAGGTCCAGCCTAGGGCTATAGCACACTGGGAGCCGCCTGTGGGCCTGTCCAGGAGGGAGATTACATCCCCTGCTTTGTGGCCAAAGCTCAGAGAGGCCAAATACTTTGCCCAAGATCACCCAGCTGGGCTTATTCAGGGGACTTCCCCTGGGAAAGCCCCTGGGAAGCGGGGCCCATTCCCTCTAGGGTCTCTGAGCCCACAGACAACCAGAAAGGATGACATTCTGACACTCCTGCCTGTGTCTGCTACTCCCAAAGCCCTGTTCCCTGTCAGGGCCATGGGCAGGGGTCCCTGCCCCTACAGATCTGCCAGACCACTCCCAGGAAGGGGCAGCTGAGGACGGTCACCCAGATAAGCTCAAGTATTTGCTGAGAGGCTGGCAGCTTTGGGATCCCTAGTGGTGGGGAAGCTCTGCCCTAAACCCCTCCTTGGCTTGGCTTTGGTTACCTGGGGCTGCCACCCCTAGCTGCCCTCCTGCCCACAGGCAATGCTGGAAAGGGGTTCCCACCCCAGGGGGCTGGCTTCACAAGCCACAGAAGCTGGGGGGATTCCCACCTGCTGCTGTCCCCCTGGAGTCCCAGAGAAACACTGGGATTGGAGGAGGGCACACAGAGATCACAGGTCAAGCTGTGGTTTCTGAGCTGGCTGGGCCTGCTGCTGAGGGTGGCCTCAGAAGCCCCAACTCTGGGCAAAGATGTTAAGAAGCAGCCACACCCTGACCCAGAGTCTGTCTCTACTCAGATGTTCTCTGATGCCACGATGTGAGGCCTGGACCCAGGAATGAGATTCCAGGAAGGGGCTCCCCGACCCCCAGCCCTTCCTTGCCATCCCCCAGCCCTTCCTCCTCTCCTTGGGTCCCCCCACCTTTACCATGCTGCTGCCTCAATCTGCCCACGGCCACTCCAGAGCCCCCCGTTTCTGGCCTTCTCCCACCTGGTGGCTTTGCAGGTGCTGTTCTGCCTGGAACACACTTCCTCCTCTTGGCCTGACCTCACCCTTCAGCTCTTGGCTGAGTTATCACCTTACACAAAGTCTTCCCGGATGCATACCCCCATCAGGGTTTCTACCTCACTGGTAAGGATTTGTGCGATGTCTCTCTTCCTCAGGCAGCACAGAGTCCATTCTCTGGGCCTCTCACAGAGCACAGCACAAAGTAGATGCTCAGCAAATAGGATCTCCTCCCTCCTCCCGTTAGTATCCATCTTGGGGCAGGGCAGGCCTAGCTTAGGGCGGGGAACATCTTTCTGACCCTTTGGGTTGAGTCGTGGATGAGAAAACCTGAGTTGGGGGGCGGTCACAGGATTTGAGGAACCCCAATAATAGTCAGCAAGCTCGGAGCTGGCCCCTCCTTCCTCATGGGCGGGTGCTTGCCACTCACCGATGCCTGACACAGTGCCCCAGGCCACAGTCATAGCCAAGTGTGCCATCTTGGGCCCGACTCCTGGCAGTGTCAGTAGCTCTGCCACAGAGGCTGGGATGTCCCCGCCATAGTGCTGCTGCAGGATGGCACTGGTCTGCTTGATGTACTTCACCTTGTTCTGAAAGATGGGGGATGGGGATAGTCAGCCCCGGATGAGGGGGGTGGAGTCCAACCTAGGAGGACAAGGCCTGAGGGAGACTCACAGGTGCCCAAGGCTGCCTGTCACCTGCCCAGGACACACTCAGAGGCACCTGCTTGCTCCTGTGCCCCTCCGAGGCGGGAATGAGCCAAGGGCAGCAGGCAGACTGAAGGAGGCCCAATGTAGGCCTGGACCCGTCTCCCACCTGTCTGGGCCAATGATTTGTGTGGGAACTGGCTTGGGATGCCCCCAGCCCCATCATTCCCCCCAGAGGCCAGGCAGGCAGGCTACGCAGGGCCAGCCATGCCAGGAGCTGCACCTGGGACTTCAGGAAGGAAGGCTGGAGCCTGGGGCTCCCCCACCAGCCGCCAGGCCAGCCGGGCGGTTCCCATCCTGTGCCTGGGCAGATGGCTATTTAAAACCCATCTGACACATTGCAGCCCACGCCAGTGCCAAGGGGAAGCAGCCACACCCGCCTAGCCACCTTCAACAGTTCTGCCCACTCGCCACCCTGTGTTCTGTGGCCTTTTTGGGCTCCAGACGGGAGGGGGAGACTCTAGGGAGGCTTGGAGTAAACAAAGGGAAAGGCGGGTGGCAGCCTGAGCAAGGAAGGGAAGGGCCAGGCAGCTGGGTGGGGAGATGGAGGAAGGAAGGGGTAGGCTGCAAACAGGAAAGGCCAAGGAGCTCCAGGGCCTGGACTTGAGGCTCCATGGCCCAGCCCCCTATGGGCTGGTCAGAGGGGCAGGGGGCTCCAGTGAGAATTCATATCTAGGCCCCAGTGGCCAGCAATGTCTGAACCGACCTCCTGTACTCCTATATCCCCCCTCAGCAACCTGACATCTTTCGTAGGCTAGTGGCACCCCTGGCCCCGGTCGCCACACGCTGAGCTTACCCTCCAGAAGCCCACGGGATAGATGAGTGTGCCCAGTGTGCTGTCATCTGTCTGCAGGATGCTTTCTACTGTCAGGCCGTGGGCTCGCAGCCGCTGCATGGCACCCGCTGTCACCTGGTCTTTGGTTTGGCTGGAGAGCATCAGCGACAGCAGCACCTGGTACCTCCGTACCTGGTCACAGTGACAAGAACCAGAACGGTGGCAGGTCTTGGGTGCTCACTGTAGGCCAGGCCCTAGCCAAGCCTTATACCCACCTGGGAATGTATGGGACGTCAGCCTCCCATCCACCCTGGCCAATTGGGGGTGGGATAGGATCTAGCTTAGGTCTGCTTTTCACCTATAACATGGGGACAATAACAGCACCTGCTTCACAGGATCACTGTGAGGCTTAAATGAATTGTCAATGCACTTAAGAGTTGTACTTGGCACAATGTCAGGGCTCAGCAGCCATTATTGTTATTGCTTTGTCAATGATGCTACTACCCATTTTACAGACTAGCAAACTGAGGCTCATTGAGGCATGTACCCAAGTCACTCGGTGGCTGAGCTGGGATTAGAATCAGGTTAGTTGAAGGACCAAACTCCGGGCCAGTGAAGTGCAAGGAACTGTTTCTCTCTCAGCAAACATGACTGAACATCCCCGACTGCTGGCAGAAGGCAGAGCATGAGGCCCCAGGCCACAGATACCCTGACCTGCTGAGTGGCCACAACGAAGCTTCCCCGTGCTCTGGGCCTCAGGCGTGCATCCTTTCAGGGTGCTGCCTGCAGGGGTGAGCCAGCCAAGACCCACCAGGTGTCAGGCTGTCCCCTGCCACCAGGCCTGAGAGGAAACAAGCGTCTTGTGCAAAAAGGGGACCCCTGCCTACCTTTGGAGGTGCACTGGGGTCATAGCAGTGCTCAACCCCCAGCTGGTCCACAGGTGCATCCTTCCCACTCCTCATGGTACGGATATTTGCCAGCTGCTGCCGCCAGTCCTGAGGCTCCCAACTTGGCGCCTTGAGTGGCTTGGTCCCCTCTCCTTTCTCACCATCTGGGGCCTCGTAGGCCACATTCAGGCTTTGTGCCTTCCGCTGACGCTTCACAGGGCGGTGGCTTTTTTCTCCTTCTGCAAAAAATGCCACTAGGTCTCTTCAGTGGGGGCTGTTGCCCTACCTGCTATCTCACCCCTCATCATTCATTCAACAAGCATCCATCATCTACTACAGCTGGGGGTGTGCTCTGTTCTCTGTATCATGCCCGTCAGTCTTCCTCGTGCCACAAGTTAACACACGAGGACTCGAGTTACAGCCTCTACCACCCCAATCTAGTCTCCCCATTGTGTCAGAGAGAATTAAGACCCAAATTGGATTGTATCTCTTCCTCTTTAAAACTCATTGTTTTTTTCTTGAACTCATGAACTCCAAACTCTGTCTTGGCATCAAAGCTCCTGCCTACATGGCTGGCCTTGTCACTTGCCTATTCTCTCCAGCCCCAGTTCCTCCTGCCGTGCTTCTGTCCCAGTGGGCTCCTTTTCTGGACTAACCCTGGGGTTCTTGGGAATTCCCCTCTGGTCAATCCTGCAGACATCCCCCAAGGACAAGTTGCAGTTGCAAGCCTGTGTTGCATGCCTCCCGCCCTGGAGCCCAGGCCCTACTTAACCCCAGTAAGTCCTTAATGACTACAGGATAACATAATGAACATGCCCTTCCTGTTTTCTGTGAGGCACCCTCTAGCAGGGGGAGAAGACTTCTGGCGGGGAGACCCTGCCTCTCTGAGGGCAGCAGCTATGAGGACAGGGCTGATCTGCCCCACAGATAGCCTGGCAAAATAGAACATCCCCGGGCAGGCTAGAGGGACGTAGAGAACTTTCTATTCGGGACAAGGGTGGGGGTGGCGTGAGCCCCTGTGGACCCCTGAGTCCCGGGAACAGGGTGCTAGGTAGAAATCCAGGTCTGCACGTGCGGCCGAGGAACTGGCTCGCTGCTGCGGGCTCTGCAGCGTTCTGCGTCTGGGTCTCAGCCCACGCGGATCGGACCCCAGCCCCCAATCCCTTGCAGTCTCCTCCCCGCTGCTCTCCTTCCTTGCCCTGGCCCGGGCGCGGCGCTACCTGCAGACGCCTCTCCCCTCCGGAGCGGCGCGGCCACCTCCCCACCTCCCCGCGGCCGGGCGCTAGGTCCCAAGACCCGGCTGCGGGTAACCATCCTCACGCCCCCGGCATTCATGCTTGACTCCTGCGGACTACACATCCCGGGGACCCCCGAGGCCCCGTCACGTGACTAGACACGCGCCCAGCCTTTCCGCCAAAGGGGGACCCAGAACTACGATTCCCAGCAAGCTCTGCGAGGGCCCTCGGTGCTGTCCCCTACCGGAAGTGCCGGTTGCGTTTCCGGCGGCAGCTCGGGGCCGGGGGTGTGCTACCTTCTCCGCGCCGGCACGGTCCGGCGCGCAGCCGGCGCGGTGCTGCGCGGCTTGGGGTGAGTGGCTTGTGGCGCCCCTACCGCTGGTGGTGACCCAGACCTCGGTGTGGCCGCGCTGGGCCTGCTCTGGGCTGAGGCGGCGGGGGTGGACCCCGCAGTGACCCAGGTCCGGGCCTCTGCCGCGCCCACCTTACCCTAACCCTGGAGCTCCAAGCGCTCGTTCGTTTTAAGTCATGGCGGGTGCGAGGGTATTCCTGCTTTCGGCGTCCCCCCACGACAGTCCTTCACATGGGGAGAGATGGTAAACGTCAGGGCTCCCTGGGCCTCACCCCCAATTCTCCTCCCTCACCCCATGCACTGAGTCAGGGGCGGGCGGCCTGGCGTTTTCCGGGTTTATTCCTGGCCAGGACAGTCTAGCTGCGGTTGACTTCTCCCCAAGGGCTGTGGGAGGAAAGGTGCCCACTAGAGATTTAGGGTTCCAGGCGGCTGGAGGTCCGAAGGGGCAGGTGTGTGGAGTTGTTCCTGAGATCTCTTTGCCTGTTTTCTTGGCACAGAGGAGTCCTCGGATGCGTCCCTGCCCACTATGGCCAAGCCATCAAGCAAAGATTCAGGCTTGAAGGAGAAGTTTAAGATTCTTTTGGGACTGGGAACTTCAAGGCCAAATCCCAGGTCTGCAGAGGGTAAACAGACGGAGTTTGTCATCACCGCGGAAACCCTGAGAGTGAGTGAACTGCCTGTGTCTTCCCTGCTAGCATCGTGGGAGGTGCAAGGAATGCTGGGTTTGGTCTTTTAACAGCTTCTGTGGGAGATGGGTTGCTGGTGACTGTCAGCAGGGTCGGCTGTCCCCAGTACCATGGAGATGTACTTGTCATTTTTCTGGAGATTCAGGAAGTCAGAATCTTGATGACTTGGTTCAGCACCCATGTTAGTATTCAGATATTGATGCAAGAAAACCTATTTTACTATACAGGGCCTGAACATCATGGTCTCCACAGGTGATTAGGGATATGGCCAGGTGTTAACTGGTATTAATTTGTGAGTCCCTGTGAGAAGTTAAGTCTATATTTTTTTTATCTGTGTCTCGCTCCCCCTACCACATGCCGGGCGCCATGTTTTGCCCATAAATAAATGTTGAATTTTTGCACTTGTAAAGTTTCCCATTCAGAGACAACCAAAGTGTATATTCATCAACTGGTGAGTTGACCCTTGAACAAAGGTTTGAACTGCACAGTTTCACTTAAATGCATGTTTTTAAAATCCATGTGTAGGGGTGGCCGGTTAGCTCAGGTGGTTAGAGCCCAGGCTCATAACACCAAGGTTGCCGGTTCAATTCCCACATGGGCCAAGGAGCTGCGCCCTCCACAACTAGATTGAAGACAACTATTGACTTGGAGCTGATGGGTCCTGGAAAAATGCCCTCCACATCTAGATTGAAATAACTACTTGACTTGGAGCTGATGGGTCATGGAAATACACACTGTTCCCCAATAAAATTTAAAAAAAAAACAAAACAAAATCCATGTATAAGTGGACCCTTACAGTTTAAACACTTGTGGTTTAAGGGTCAGCTGTATAAACAAAATGTGATACATTTATAAAGGAGTATCGTTTGCCAAAAAAAGGAATGACGCATTGATACATACTACAAAATGGACGAACCTTGAAAACATGCTAAGTGAAAAGCCAATTACAAAGGCCCATGCAATGTATGATTCCATTTATATGGAATGTCCAGAGCAGGCAAATCTGTAGAGACAGAAAGTAGACTAGCATTTGCCAGGGCCTGGGTAGGGGAAGGAATAGGGCATGACTGCTAATGGGTATCAAGTTTCCTTTTGAGGCGACGAAAATGTTCTGGAATTAGTGGAAATGGTTATAAGCATTGCAGATATACTAAAAACTGGATTGTATGGTTTAAATGGTGAGTTTTATGTGAAGTGAATTTTATCTCAAAAATAAAAAATTCAGTGATGGGGAAAAAAAGTCTGTTCTCACTCCAGTGAGCTGGAGTAGTAAACTGGTGGTGTTTCCTAATTTCAGAAGGGTCTGCTGCAAGTCTCCAGGGTGGAAAATGCGGTACAATTCTTAGGGTGGTCTGTGATTGGCAGTTAAAGAGACCTGTTGCCTGAAAATGGGCCCCTTTTCCTTCTTTCACCTCTTCAGGAACTGAGTGGCGATAGTGGCCTTAACAATCGTATCCGGGTGATTGGGCAGATCTGTGAAGTTGCAAAAACGAAGAAATTTGAAGAGGTGGGTCAGTCTCAATTGGACTATTGGAGAGCTGTGAGCTGTTTAGAAGCTTGATCTTGGCTCTTTCTTGGAGCAGGTTGGACAGCTAACTTTGCTGATGAACTCATATACACTATTTTAGGGGAATTTCACCTTCATCTTAGTGACTTAGTGATGGGGAAGCTTTTGGAAATGCCCTGAGCACAACCCTGAGGGGCCAATCATGTGTGGAGGTGGGGAACAAGAGAATTAAGGCTTTTCTAGCAGATTCGAGGAAGGGGTGTGTGTGTGTGTTGTGTGGCTTACAGAAGTGCATGCTTGTCTTATTACAGATTTGGGGGGAGGGAAAGTAGAGGAGCATCAGGAAAGAGTGTGGTCTCACAGAGAACAGTTTAAGGCACACCATTGTTGGTGTCTTTTTGGGCATCTGGTTGGTGGTATCAAGCAGCCTTACAGACGTAGGCGTGTTTATTTCAGCCAACTACTTCCGGGCTCTCTCCTGACTTCCTTTGAACAGAGTGGGACATTGTCATTAGAGCATTTCAAGGGTTCTGTTCTAGCCTTGCCCCGAGTTTGTGTAAGTGACTTGGGGGAGATGTGGACCTTACACCTAGCAGATTCAGATCTGCCAAGAGGGAGAGTGACCGCTACCTTCTCAGCAGGTCATCTGAAACATGCAAACTATACATTACCAAGGATAAATGTGAAATAGGCATCTGTGTTCTTAAAGTTGCCTGTATAGGTAGGTACAGAAAGGAGAGGTATGACTGGACTGCCATCATATGAATAGACAGATAGGCCTAAGAGGCTGGGATAGACAACAGGCTCAGTGTCTGTTGTTGTGGCTTAGATTGCATTAATGGAAGTATTATGAATGGGACAAAGGAGGTGAAGGTTTCAGTGTATCCTGAGCTGGTCAGGATGTTAGTCAGACAATATCTAAAAGACGTTTTAATCCTGCTCCTAAGAGGAGTGAGCCCAGGAAAGGTTGAGTGGTCTGAAAACCCTTGTCGAAGGGAATGTGGGATGATTAACACGGAGAAGGTGACATGAGAGAGGCTTATTTTGGGGAGCTGTGGGGAACAGGACCCAGCTCTTCCATGGGCTGGGTGGACTTAGAGGAGGCAGATTCCAGTAGCCTGCACAGAGTTCTTGGCAGGTCAGGCCAGCTACAGAGGCGCGGCAGGGGTGTAGTACTGAGTGGCCTGTGGCTGGGCAGGTGTGTTTACACAGAGGGAAGCCAGGGAGTGGATTTCTGGGTCAGGCTGCAGGCCCAGGGACCACCGTGGCACTTCTGGTTATGAGATTCTTTCAATGACTTTCCCTGTCAGAGTTGGAGCAAGCTCTGAGGGGGACTCCCTGTGATTTCTGGGGGCAGCCAGGATAGCTCCCCTGTCCTGCCTGCTCTCCTCTCTCTCCCAGCCTAGAGCCTGGTGAGGGTTAAAGGGATCTGCGATGATTTTGAAGTGGCTTGCAGCTATCCCCCTTGTCAGGACTACGGTCACCATGGGCTGTGACAGGTACATGAGATGTGGACTTTAGAGGTGAAGATCTAAGTCAGGAGACACTGTTGTTCTGCTCTGTCCTTTGTCCTCGAGTTGAGGGGACCAGCACACCCTAATCGCTGTCCCCTCTTCGCTGGTGGCAGCATGCAGTGGAAGCGCTCTGGAAGGCCGTCGCAGACCTGCTGCAGCCAGAGAAGCCACCAGAGGCCCGGCATGCAGTGCTGGCTCTGCTGAAGGCCATCGTGCAGGGGCAGGTAAGGGGCAGCGGTCTGTGCCCAGGTGGAGCTGCAGTGGGCATGTGGGATGATGTCGGGCTGCCCACTGATTCCTCTTGCTGGTCCCACTTGGACTCTTTTCTTTGGTGAGGGCACCAGGCACAGGATCTGTGGTTCCCAGGGGCTCTGCAGCTAGAGGGCCTGAGTGGGCATCCTGGCATCGCCTCTTGTATCCGTGTGACCCTGGGTGAGTCACTGGAGCTTGCTGAGCCTCTACCTCCTCCCCTATAAAAGGGATACTTGTGGCTCCTTCCTCTGGGATGTTTTGGGGAGTAAAGGAGGCAATTCATGCAAAATGATAAGAACAGTGCCTGGCACGAGTGACCCACTCTGTTGCTCCTGATGACCTCGTTCCCCTCACCCTGGGCCACTCACTGCCCATGCTCACCATGGTTTGGTTACACTGGTCTCTGCTGTTCTGAGATGCCCAGGCCACCTCTCGCCATTCCTGCCTGGAAGGCTTCGCCGCCCCACCCCACCCCCTGCGCCTTTCCTCTCCTCTTTCATACCTTAAGAGGCGTATGAGAGGCCCTGTCACTTTTGGTGAGGTTAGACCATTGTCCAGTGAGCACAAATGTGTCCACCCTGGTGGGGTAGGGGTGTGGGGGCAGAGCTGCACTGTCCCTGCTGTGTGCCCACTCCTATACCCAGAGCTGGACACAGTGGGTGCTGCACACGCACCGACCAGTGGGCCTGGTCCCCTACCCTAGCCGCTCCAGTGTTTCCCGTTCGTCCCTCATAGCCTGTTTCTGTGGGAAGGAGAAAGGGCCCCAGAGTCAGGAGTCTCGGAGCCCACTACACTTCTGGACTTCTTCCAGCTGCTCAGGAAGCCCGGTGGCCAGGGGATCCTGGCAGGGCTGCTGACCTCATGATTTTGTCTTCAGGGGGACCGCCTAGGTGTTCTGAGGTCCTGCTTCTTCAAGGTCATCAAGGATTACCCCTCCAACGAAGACCTCCATGAAAGACTGGAAGTTTTCAAGGCCCTCACAGACAATGGGAGACACATCACCTACTTGGAAGAAGAACTGGGTGGGTGCCACACTGGGTGTGAGGTTTCTCTGGCCTTGGTGATCAAATTTAATCTGGGATGTGGAAGGCCACTGGGGCGCCGAGGGAGTGCTGCAGTTCGCGGGGTGGCCTGCAGAGGGCGCTGCACCACGCAGCTCTGCTTACCTGTGGGCAACCTGGATCAGCCGCCTGAATCTCCTGGGGAGTTTGTTAAAAATGCAGAGTCCTGGGCTTCACTCCAGACCTGCTGGCTCAGAACCCCTGGGGAGTTGGGCTTAGATGTGCCTTTTAGGCAGTCAGGCAGGTGGTGGTCTGAGCTCTGCTGTAGGGAGGAGAGTGTGCTGCTGACCCAGGCATCAGGCTGTGTCTTACCTGGGGTGCCCTGAGGTTTCTGGGATGCCAAGGCCGCCTGGCAGTGTCTTCCTCCTCGCCCTTTCTGTTCCCTGGGCCTGACTTCCACCCCTCCCCTTTGCTGGCCTGCCTTGTCGTCCTGATGGTGTGAGGTTTCTGTGAGTCTTGAGATTTCATGTCACTGCTGGGGAGAGAAGAGGAAGGAGGAAGTAAATCTGACTCAGGCCTTGCTGTTCTGTTGCCCAGAAATGGGCCTCAGCTATCGGTCTGCCTCCAGGACAGGTGCTGGAGGTCAGGTGTTCTGTCTTAAGTTTACTTAGCTAGCAGCCAAGCATTGCTTGTGTCTCCTTCAAGAGATTCTCTGTGGGGATAGGGGTCAGGAATCTGTTTCCTAGACACATGCCCCGGTGATGCTGGCATCCCAGCATCGTCGTCAGGGCTCTGAGCGTCAGATGTACAAGTATTGCTACCGCCTCTCAGCCCCAAATCCCCACAGTGCATCCTGGGGGGTTGGTGAATTCCAGAGTCTGTGACATGCTGACCTCCTTGGGCTCCAGCTGAGCCTCCCTCAGCCCTGTGCGTGCACGGCCTACCTGTCATCGCATGGGGACCGATGACAGGGTTTCTAGCAGTGAATGGGATGGGTAGTGTTTTCCTGGGTAGGAGGCAGTGCATTGGAAGTACAGCGTTCTCCTCTCCTCCGCAGCTGAGTTTGTCCTGCAGTGGATGGATGTCGGCCTGTCCTCAGAATTCCTTCTGGTGCTTGTGAACCTCGTCAAATTCAATAGCTGTTACCTAGATGAATACATCGCGTCAATGGTCCAGTAAGAAAATAATTCCAGTGATGTTACTGTGATCATAGTGCCACTCTCTTGGGTCCTTAGTTCAGCTCTGCGATGTGACTAAAGCTGTTGAAACCATCACATAAATGGAGAAATTGGAAGTGGCCATAGCCACCTTCCACTTAAGTTGATATTTTGAGGCTTGAACTGATATTTTATTTATTTATTTTTTTTAAGCTGAGCCATCCTGCCACCTGTTGGCAGCTCAGCGGCTGCTCAGCTCGGGCTGGGAATCGAACCTCTGTTGCTCAGAGCTCAAACTCTTGAGCGAGCTCTTAACCAACTGAGCCACTCGGCTGGCCCTTGATATTTATTTATTTATTTTTTAAACACTGCTGCTTTTTTTTTTTTTTAAGATATTTTTTTAATTGGGAATTGGGGGGATGGGATCAGCGCTGGGGAATTGGGGGAAGGGGAACAGACAAGTTGCTGTCGTTTTTGTTCGTCAATCTAGTTGTGGAGGACGTTGCTTCACTGGCCCAAGTTGGCACCATCATTGCGCTCTTCCCGGGCGAGGCAGATCAGTCGCCGGCTTCTGGACAGCCGCTCACTGCGGCTGCTGGCTGCTCACGCTGGCTGCTGGCTACATACGGTAGCCCATGGCAACCCACTGCCACAGGGGCTGCAGCCTACGCCATCGCCGGCGACTCACGGCAGCCCAGCTCCAGGTTGAGCTGTTGTTCAGCATCTTAGCTGTGGAGGGCAATGTCACTGGCCCTCATATGTGGGATCCGAACCGGGGCCCTCTGGCATCCCAAGCCAGTTCTTAACCATCGCGCCACTCAGCCAGCCCAATATTTTATTTTTAACATGTATAATGTTACCTGATGTTTTATTTATTATTATTTTTGTTGACATTTATTCCAAAACACTGGGGAACCCATGAGGGCAGGGGGCTGGGTCCTGTTGGTGTTAACACACACAGCACTGAGCTTGTCTGTGGGTGAGTGGGGGCCCTAAGCAGGTCGAGCCCCTCATGTAACTAACTCTCTAGAGTCACTAGAAAGGAAACGAGCCATGCAGCCTCTGGGGAAAAAAATCCTTTTAGCTGACTTTGCATTTCCTCCAACAGCATGATCTGCCTGCTGTGTGTCCAGACTGTGTCCTCTGTGGACATAGAGGTTAGTAGCTGCCCCTCCTCAGGGCCAGTTCCTTTCACCCTCCTTCCAGGCAGCCTGGGTGGCATAACAGTGGAGACCCTGGGCTCTAGGGTCAAGTCCTGTGGGGCCCCTCATTGACTGTGTGGCCCCCGGGCAAGCTGCTCGGCCTCTCTGAGCCTCAGGACTCTTTATTGTAAGTCAGGGTGGTTGGATAACCTCTATTTGTGGGATCGTAGCTTGGGGTGGGATGACCCACAGTGACTGGGATGCAGAGGCGCCTCCCAGGTGCTCACTTGCTCTTGTCATCCCGAGGAAGGCTGCTTTGGCAGTGGGGAGGGGTGACAGTCACTGACCAAAGGATGGTGGGAAGGAAGCGGGGGCTGTCACCTCCTCGCTGTGGGCAGGAATTGGGACAGGGCCGGCCTGACCCCTCTCTCCACCCCACCAGGTCTCCCTGCAGGTGCTGGATGCCGTGGTCTGTTACAACTGCCTGCCGGCTGAGAGCCTCCCTCTGTTCATCGTCACCCTCTGCCGCACCATCAACGTCAAGGAGCTCTGTGAGCCTTGCTGGAAGGTGGGGGTCAGCACTGTTGTCCTGGAGATTCTTCCCTGGATGAAGCTATAAGCTGGGCACATGGACAGGACAAGGGCGATCTTGTCTTCAATGAATGGCCATCTGATTCTTGGGGCGGCCAGACAATAGCCTGTTGAGGGAGTCCAGTGGCATTGTCCCAGGCGGTTGAGCTGAGGTCAGGGATTTGGTGGCATTCTGAGAACTCTGTGGCCTCTGTGTTTGGGAGGAGATAGTGGAGAGCTGGCTGGACACAGAAGGCTTTGGAGCAGTGGCTACGTAGGCCCGGCACACAGGGCTGGAGTTTGGGGCTCTGGGGCTTGTATCTGCCAATCTAACAGCAGTGTGTTTTTCCCAGCTGATGCGTAACCTCCTGGGCACTCACCTGGGCCACAGTGCCATCTACAACATGTGCCGAATCATGGAGGACAGGCGAGTGTGGGCAGGGGTTGGGGCGAATGGTGAGGGTGAGGTGGCTGGTTCAGCTGCTGGCAGAGCCTCTGCAAGGGGCCTCTCTGTGTTGGCTTTTGTGTGGCATAGGCTAATGGGGAGGTTCCCTGTTTCCTTGGGGTGAGTGCTCTGGAAGTTGGCACTAAAACGGGAGCATACATCTTATGCTCCTGATCCCCTGTCCTCTCTCACTTCTGTCAGTAAAATCAGAACGTTCAGAGCTGAGCTGAATGTCCCTCCCACACTTGAAACTCGTCTAGCCAGGCAGCCTCACCATCGATCCTTTTACGAGGCCCTTGCCCTCACTTCCCACAGCCCCGCCATCACAAGTCCTGTTGCTTCTGCCCCTGAGAGGTGGCTCAGATCTGTCCACCTAGGGCCTCCACGCCACACCCTCACCTCCTCGCTGGTCCCCTGCACCCATTCTTGGCCTCTTGAAGTCCATTCCTCCACACAGCAGTCACATGTTCTTTTAACAGTGTAGATTGATGTCACCTTTTGCTTGAAGCCACAGTGGCTCCCAGGGCTCAGGATCAAAACCACACTCCTTACCACAGCAAGGCCTGGGTGGTCCGGCCCTGCTGCAGCCCTCAGCGTCTTGCTTCCTCCTCCTTGCCGTGCTCCCACCCACCCAGCGCATCTGCATGTGCCCTTTGCTCTTGCTCGAATAACCTTCCATCTTGGTTGAGTTTCTTCTTGACATCCTGGCTCTGTCACTGATTCCCTGACTACCCCGAGCAGGTTTTGGTCCTCATATCCCGTAGCTTTCCTTCTTAGTGGTGATTTGAGGTGGAAACTTGCCATTTCCTTACATGGTCCTTTGGGTCTGTGTCTCCTGGGCTGTAAGCACCATGAGACCAAGAGCCTTCTCTTCGACCTCTGTACCCTGGCATCTAGTGTGGCTTCATGGTCAGCAGTGACGACTGTTGAGTGAATGCCTGAATGAATCAAATAGTTGCTGCTGGCCTCTGTGTGCCCTTACCAGCGCCCCTCCCCCTGCCTCACTTCTGGCCCCTAAGTACAGGGACCTCTGGGGAGGCTGCCAGGAGCCTGGGCCCACCTTTGGGCTCTGCAGAGGGTAGCCGCCAGGCCTGGGCTCTGCTCACCCTGTCTTTCTGGGGAATGCTTTCAGAGCCTACATGGAAGACGCCCCGCTGCTGAGAGGAGCTGTGTTCTTTGTCGGCATGGCTCTCTGGGGAGCGCACAGACTCTATTCTCTCAAGAACTCCCCGACATCTGTGTTGCCGTCATTTTACGAGGTAACTCATATTTTGTGCTGCAGTGAGCTGGTGAGAGCCCGGGAGCTCAGTTCAGTCAGGCCCGCCAACCCGCCCAGAAAAGACCCATGAGACGGGTTTTGCTGCAGGGGTAAAGAGGGGATTTCCAGTTACTTGCTTTGCAACCGGAGATGAGGTTTAGGGCCGTTTGAATGTTTTATTCTCAAGTAAACGTTATGTCTTATGAATTTCATCTCCTGCAAATTAGCGTTAGAACTGGGTTGGTGACACTCTTACTGGTGATGATTTCAGTTGGTAATCTCACTCTCGCTCTAGAGTTGAGGCCAGTGATGGGGCTTCCGTTTCCATGGTGCCCAGAGGTGTTGGGAGCGCTTCCTGTGTGTGCTATCACATAGTCATCAAGGCATCTTGGTGAGCTGGGCCGTCATCCCATCTTCATCTTACCACAAGGAGAGCAGCTCAGACGAGCTGTGTCGTGTCCAGGGTGACACAGAATTTCCTGATGGGCTGTCCTTTGTGCCCTACCCCCAGCTCACTGGGCAGTGGAGCATGCGGTCTGTGCATTGCTTGCATCAGATAGTTTTCAGGTTCCTTTAGACTGGCAAGCCAGAGGCCCAGAATTCAGCTGAGTCAAGCTCTTTGGATCCAGTGCAGAAAACACACTTCTGGCTCTAGTGATACTTGTGTGGCCTGTGAGACATGACGGGAGCGTGGCCCTCTCAGGCATCTTACTCTGGCTTCAGATGGTGACGTAATAGGGGGCTTCCTGTGCATGAGCGGGAAGTGGCTGACTGTTGTCTGCTCCCCGGGCCTTGTGTTTCAGGCCATGACCTGTCCAAACGAGGTGGTGTCCTATGAGATCGTCCTCTCCATAACCAGACTCATCAAGAAGTACAGGAGGGAGCTCCAGGCCGTGACATGGGACATTCTGCTGAACATTATCGAACGCCTGCTTCAACAGCTCCAGGTGAGGCCGGCGGGAACGCTCTGGGCACAGGGAGGACTGGGACCACGGACAGGCAGGTCCGAGGGCCCTTCCCTGGGGGGCGTGGACCTGTGGGGGGCTCCTTTCACCTGGACGATGGCTCCCTGCACACCTGGGTCCTACCTCAGAGCTTGCCAGTCGTGTTGCCTGATGGTTCTCAGTGGTGTCAACTTGCCATCCCCTGAAGACGGCTGGGTTTTCCAAACGTGCCCTATCACTGGGAACAGGAATGTGTAGTAGATGAGCAAGGGATGGGGCTGGCATTGATCAGGATTGACAGTTACACACCAGGTCACCTCCATGGCCTGGAAATGGACCCTGAAGGCAGTCCCCTACACATCTAGAAAGCTGGCCACAGCTTTGGCATAACACTAGAGGACAGCGGCTGACCACAGCAGGAAGGGCTACATGCTGATGGGGCTGCAGAGATGACAAGGCTGTGTGTAGCACAGGCTTAGAGCTGGGCCTTTTGGGGCCTGGGGTGGGCGATGTGCAGGTGGCCAGGCCAGGGGGAGGAAGGACTGGGACTCAGGAGAGACTGGACTCTTCCCCATCATTGTCAGTGGCCAGCTGGCCAGGTATTGCTTCATCCCAGAGTGGCGGTCTGGGAGGCCATGGCCCTGGGGCTTCCAGAAGATGCTTGAGCCTGGGGGAGGCATGAAGCTCTCGCAGTGGGTCCCTGCAAGGCCCACTGTGTGGGCACAGCCAGTACTCCCTGGGGGTGGGGAATGAGCAGGAACAGCCCTGCTGCCCCAAGCGTCCCAGCATAGTGGGGGTCATGCCCCCTGCTCAGCAGAAGGGCCTGCAGATGGGTGTCTGGATGCAGCTGGTCTTGCATCCTTGAGGGAAGTCACTCCGGTGTAACTGCTCCCTTGTGTTGCAGAGCCTGGAGAGCCCGGAGCTCAAGGCCATCGTCCACGACCTGCTGACTACAGTGGAAGAGCTGTGTGATCAGAACGAGTTCCACGGCTCTCAGGATAGATACTTTGAGCTCATTGAGAGATGTGCAGACCAGAGGCCTGTAAGACCACCTCTTCCCCAACCTGGTGGGCCTTTGGTGCTTGGGCAAGAGGGTGGTTTAGGTCAGGCTGCTGGGGAGGGCTGGGACCGCTCACCTCTGTGAGCCCTGGTTGTGTAGGTCAGAAACCGAGTTTTCTATGTGTTTGAAATAAAAGGCCAGGCAGGCTCCTGATGTCCGGGATTTGTGCTCCAGCAGGGAAGTCTGTCAGGGTTTCAGTAAGCTGAGCGTGTGTGGGTCTGTCAGAGCACAGTGCTAGCCTAACTGTCAGCTTCCTCCCACCTGTGCGGAGGAAGGTGCTGGCTGGCCTGTGGAGACTTGTTGCTCGGCACGTCTGCTCTCTGGGCGGCAGGCGGTCCTTGTGCCAGAAATGCTCAGCTTGATGCCAAGGCTTTTACGTGGGTTTTTAAATGGAGTTTTCTTGCTGTCAGTAGAGCTTTGTCTTGGGCTCCCCACCTGGGCCTTGAAGTGGCTGGTCTCACTGAGCAAACTCTCCTCTGGGGCCAGCAGCACGGGGCTGTGAATATAAGAAAACCTCTGGAAAGGCGAAGTGGCTCTCTCACCAGGTTTTTCTTCTTTTGACAGGAGTCCTCCCTCTTAAACTTAATAACCTACAGGGCTCAGTCAATCCACCCAGCAAAGGATGGCTGGATCCACAACCTGCAGTTACTGATGGAGAGATTTTTCAGGTAGGGAGGTTCTGGAGGCCTCTTGGGCCTTGGAGCCTGACCCCATGTCTGCACCCTGGGCCGGCCTCTGGGATACCAAGGGTCAGGGCTTTCCTTTCGGGTTTTTGAAAGTAACGATTCTCACTGAGCAGGACAAGGTGGTTTCCTGGCAGGGCAGTCTTCTCAGGCCTCTATACTTACTTCTTCCTGTGGAAAGTTGTCTAGAAAGATGCCGTCTCTGAGGGCCCAGCTCTGTACCCCTTTGCCCAGTTCTTGGTCTGGATGTTGACTAGCTGGGCCCCATGAAGGGAGAATCAGAGTTGGTCTCGTCTGCCACCCAGGCTGGGGGGCCGTGGTTTCGTGCAGTAGGCCTGGGTTCTGGGTCCCCAGGGGAGCCCTCTGAGCTGAGGATGCAGGTTGGGCAGGGCCTGGTGCAGGGGTGAGGCTGGCAGCAGTGCTCCCCCCATCCCCAGCAGCTGTGCCCCTGCCCCTAGGAGCGAAGCTCGCAGTGCTGTGCGCATCAAGGTGCTGGATGTCCTATCCTTTGTGCTGCTCATCAACAGGCAGTTCTATGAGGTGCGTGTCCTGTGGTCGGCGGGAAAGCCCTGGGGCTGTCAGAAGTGAGGGTGAGGCTTGCCTGAGAGGCACTGCAAGGCTCCTGGGGTCTGCCCGGAAATTGGGGTCCAACACACTCCTCTGGCAGGCTTTCTCAACAGGCTTTGTCTTTTACTCCCTTGTTCGTTTGTCTGTCTGTCCATCCATCCATCCATCCATCCATCCATTCGTCCATTCATTCCGTGGTGCGCCCTACCAGTTCCTGCCCTCAGGGAGCTCCAGCTTGGTCATCACCCAGAATACAGAAGAGTTCTGCACAGTCTTGCATGATTCTTTCTTTTTGTGTGTGTACTCACACTCACCCCTCTGGCCCCCAGCTGACCAGTAGCTGCCAGAGCAGTGCCAGGCCCTGCCTGTCTCTTTACTACAGTTTCTTCCCTCCAGTACATCCTACAAGAGGATGGTCAGAGTCCCTCCTTCCCTCAGAAACACTAGTGTGCACCTGCCCGCCATGTCCTTTCCTCCAGGAGATGGACCTCAGGCTCTGAGCGGCTTCCCTCGCTTTCTAGCTGCATCCCGGCATTCCTGGTATTCCCAGACCTGCCTTTCCCCTCCTGCTCTCTCAGCCTTCCCTTTCCCTGTGTCTCTGTCCCTGGGCACCCTGCTCTCCTTCAAAGTCCAGCTCAGGGCTGCCTCTTCTAGGAAGCCCCTCTGGGTTTTTGGGTCCCTCACGTCAGGGTTGGTCTTATCCTGCCTCTCTGAAAGCGCTTGTCACGCTGCCCCATCACAGTCATCCAACCTCCAGGTGCACACACAGTGGGCCTTCCACATAACATTGTCCTCAATTGTGACGTTGAGTAACAGAGCAAGCAGGGGACATTCACTGCCTATGGACATGTGCCTAGGCCAGGCCATCGTGCAGCTGTCACTGTTCTCCTGACCTGAGGAGCCATGCACAGCACCTTGGAAGGGGCCTTGTAGTCAGGCGGACACAACCCGGCCACAGGTTTTCCCATCTCAAGTGGCATCTTAGCTGCTTTCCGGCCTCTGTCACCGGTGGCTTTCCTCACTCCACTGTGCTTGCTGCAGGAGGAGCTGATCAACACGGTGGTCATCTCACAGCTCTCTCACATCCCCGAGGACAGAGACCACCAGGTCCGGAAGCTGGCCACGCAGTTGCTGGTGGACCTGGCTGAAGGCTGCCACACCCATCACTTCAACAGCCTGCTGGACATCATCGAGAAAGTGAGAGCTGCTCGGGCCTGGGGCTTGGGGTGCCTGGGCTGCTAGAGGGACCCCCACTCTCTGTGGCAAAGTGCTGCGGGTGGCAGCATCCTCTGGACTCTGTCGCGTTCTCTGCAGAGTGACGGGCTGGGTTTCTCAGAGGCAAGGCTTTCCTCTCAGCAGTGATGGGTGGTGTCTGGAGACTTGGCCGGGCCTTCTGCTGCTCATCCTGGGGTCCTGCTGTCTGGGGTCCTGGGCAATGGTTGTGGGGATGCTCCACAGCAGCTGGGCTGGAGTGGGGCTGGGCCCATTGTCCTACCACACCATCCTTTTCTGTTAGTTTTCAAATGCATAGCAGTGTCTGAATCGTCCCTCAGGTGTGGAAAGCGTATCACTCCTTTTGAGAAATAAAGGAGAAGGTGTCTGCTGGTAGAAAGTACTGGATCGGATGGGTGCTGCCACCGGGGGCCTGGAACCAGGATTTAAATACAGATCTTCTCTCCAAAGGTGGTCTCCCGCTCCCTCTCCCCACCCCCGGAGCTGGAGGAAAGAGACGTGGCGGTGTACTCAGCCTCCTTGGAGGATGTGAAGACTGCCGTCCTGGGGCTCCTGGTCATCCTCCAGGTGGGCCTCCGCTCTCCTGGGAGGGGGTGACAATTAGCTACGGATGTTGGGGTGCCGCTCTTTAGGGACACATCTCCTGGGAGACCTCGGCTCTCCCTAGGGGTCAAATTGGGCAGCCTGAGTGTGATCCCAATTCCTTGTCACAGTGGGGGGACTGGGTGAGAGCCCCCAGGGAGGGGTGCACGTGGCCTGGCCAGATCCAGACTGTGCGGAGCCAGCCATCCCCGAGTCAGTGCCCGAACCATCCCCTCGGCTCTCCCAGCCCCTGAGGAGGGAAGGGCTGCCTTCCATTCAGTCCCAGGATTGTTTGATTTTTTTTTTTTAAACAGCTTTATTGAGATGTAATTTACATACCATACAATTCATCTGTTTAAAGTATGTAATTCAGTGGTTTTCAGTTTATTCACAGAGTTGTGCAGCTGTCACTACAGACACTTTCAGAACATCTTTATTACCCCAAAAGACACCCCATACCTATTAGCAGTCTCTCCCCATTTTCCCCTCATCATCCCAAGCCCCTGGAAACCACTAATTTGCTTTCTGTCTATGAATTTGCCTATTCTGAACATTGCATAGACATGGAATCATACAGACCTTTGTGTCATCTGGCATCTTTCATTGAGCATGTCTTCAAAGTTCATCCACGTTATAGCATGTGTCAGTACTTTTTTTTTTTTCTTTAAGATTTTATTGGGGAACTGGGGAAGGGGAACAGCCAAGTTGTTGTCCTTCAATCTTAGTTGTGGAGGGTGCAGCAAGCTCAGCTCCAAGTCCAGTTGCCATCTGGTCGCCTGTCGGCAGCTCGCAACTGCTCAGCTCAAGGTGCCATGTTCAATCTTATTTGCGGATGGGCATAGCACACCATCCCATGCAGGAGTCGAACCGGCAACCTTGTTGTTAGGAGCACGTGCTCTCACCAGCTGAGCCATCTTGGCACCTGCTGACAGCTCAGCGGCAGCTCAGCTCAGGCGCAGCTCACTGGCCCATGTGGGAATCAGACTGGTGATGCTGTTGCTCAGAACTCGCGCTCTTAACCAACTGAGCCACTCGGCCGGCCCTTCTTTCCTTTTTAAGGCTGACTTTTCCACAGGGTCTGCACCATTGTACATTCCTAGCAGCAGAGAACGAGGGTTCAATTTCTCTACATTCTCACCAACACTTGTTATTTCTTGTGTGGTTTTTTTTTTATAGCCATTTTAGTGGGTGTGAAATGATATCTCATTGTGGCTTGATTTGCATTTGACTAATGACTAATGATGTTGAGCATCTTTTCACGTGCTTGTTGGCCATTTGTATATCTTCTTTGGAGAAATGTCTGTTCAGATCTTTTGCCCATTTTTTAATTGGGTTGTTTATCTCTTTATTGAGTTTTAAGACTTATTTATATATTCTGGCTACAAGTCTTTTGTCAGTTAGATGATTTATATACGTTTTCCATCCCCAATCGTTTCTGCAGCATTGTGCTCGCTCTCCTGGGTGGTGGCTGTCCTCCCGTAACTCCCAGGCACTGCCTGGCTCCGGAGGCTGGCTAGTGCTGTGACCTCATCCCATAATGTCCCCAGGGGCAGCGATCAGGCTCTGCTGCTGGCACCGTACCTTGATCACCAATATTCAAAGCACGATAGTGCCACTGAAGTTCACCTGCTAGCATCAGTATTGTGTAAAATGTAATATTTAAATTTGTCTCAAAAACTTCTAGTTCATAAAGACGATATAACAGTTTCCTGTAACATTTATACGTAATAGGTTCTTATTTTCTGATGTGAAGTTTAAAGTTTTTGATAAAACCTGGACAGCATCTCCTTGGTGTCCTGTCCAGTGGAGTGCCACACTCTTTACTGCCCTGGCTTGTGAAGGGGAGCGTGGTGGGCCATGGGGCCCCGTGGCCTGGATGAACCCGAAACCCTCCTGCGCAGGAGGAAGACGAGATGGTCCATTGCCCTCACTTGGAAATCCAGCCCTGAAGATCCAAGGGCCAGGGGCCCCAGAACTGAACTGTTTCTTAGTTGAGGCGAAGTCCTGGGACAGGTTGTCTTCATTTCTCCGTTTTTGTAATGAAAAATTAGTGTATTCACCCTGTTTGAACTGGGTGAAACAGGGAGGCAGCATAAACATAGCAAAAAGTTAGACTCCCCCCTCCTTCCCGTCAGAACTGGTAGGCAGAGCAGCAGCTGTCCGGCTCCTAGGGCATCCTTCCCGAAACTGCCTGGCCATTGTCAAGCACTGTACTAAACACCTTCCCCGCACCTTTTTTTTTTTTTTGGTGGAAGACGGGGATAATGCTTTTGTATTATGTTTTTTGAAACGAGACAGATTTGTTAATTATTTCTTCTTTAAAAACAATAACAGTGATACAATTTCTAATACTTCTCTTCTCCAAGGTTGAGTACCATGAAGGGGTCTCTCCTGCCCCCTGCTGGCCCCACCCCACAGCCCTTGCCCACCTACCTAGGCTTCTGGCAGCACCAAGGGCTCTCACACCTGGGCTCACCTGTCAGGGAGGTGCCCTTGGCCTTGCTGAGGTGGGGTGGGGAGGGAGTTTTCAGTGGTGATCACAGCCCCATCAGCTGGGGGAATAAATCCCTTCATGGAATCAAGAAACAAATCCTTCATGGAATCCACCATGGACTTGTGCTGTCCTGGTTTATCCTTTGCTGAGTAGTGTTGAGAGTGCTCTTTCAGCCCACATGGGTCTCGTCTCACACATGGCTGCACAGTGCTCCTCTGGATGGACTTCCTGCTTTAGTAACTGACTCCCTGTGGACGACAGGGACATGTGGCCATCTCTGATGTTTTACCATTGCCTAGAGTGCATTTGTGTGGGGTATTTGTGGGACGAGGCCCTGGAGAAGAACTGGTGGCTTGAAGGGTTTGTGCTTATTAAAGAACGATGGATGTTGCCCAGTTACCTCCAAAGCTTGTTCTGGTTCCTCTCCTCCTGGGCACCAGCTCCATGGCTGCATCGCAGCCTCCTGTTCTTGCGGTGACCAGCCCGCTCTCTCTGCAGACCAAGCTGTATGCCTTGCCTGCCAGTCATGCCATGCGTGTGTATGAGATGCTCGTCAGCCACATCCAGCTGCACTACAAGCACAGCTATACCCTTCCCATCGCCAGCAGCATCCGGCTGCAGGTATGACGGGCCTGCTGGGCAGTCGGTGGCTGTCGTGGAGCCCAGCCACACCTCAGGGCTGGCCTCAGGGTGGACGCCCCGTGGGGCCCAGCAGCTGCCTCAGTCTCGGTGGGTACAGTGACCACAGGCTGGAGAAGTGGCAGGTGGCCCCGGGAGAGGTCTTCAGACTGTTCCCTCCTCAGTACCAGCTGTGGCACCTGCTGCCCTTCCCTCTGCGGCACGTCAGCCTGAGTCACACGGTGGCCTGGGATGGGGAGCAGAGAAAGGGTGTCGCACCAACTTACAGGGTGGCACGTGTTCCCATCACTCTTGCTGCAGTCTGTCAGCCACCTGCAGCAGAGGGTGTGGGTTGGGCAGGACAAACTGCCTTGAGCTTCCACTGGGGGTGCTGGCATCAGGCTGAGCAGAGGTCACCGGGACAGAAGCCCTGGTCCCTCCCAGAGCATCTACCCGATGGGGCAGCCCTGTCATTTGGGGAGCCCAGTTGTTGGCAGAAGTGACAGTGTCCTGAGCAGAGGCCTGCACCCCGGCACTCAAGGCTGTGCCATGCTGCCCAGCCAGCATGTGAGGTAGTCAGCCCCTCTACACATGGTGTGAGAGGCCTCGACATTGCCAGATGCTGGGGGGATGGCACGGCCGCCGTGGGCTCTGAGGGAGAAAGCCGTGAATGCCGCACCTCACTGCCCACTACCACTGTCTGCGCAGAGAAATTGGGGTGTTTGCTGTTAGTGGGAGCAGCCTTTCCTGAGAGACGTGTGGGTCTGGATGGCACCTTCTGTTCCCTGCAGGCCTTTGACTTCCTGCTGCTGCTGCGGGCCGACGCATTACACCGCCTCGGCCTGCCCACCAAGGACGGGGTTGTGCGATTCAGCCCTTACTGCCTCTGTGACTACATGTATGTGTGGGACATCGTCCTTCCCTACTGCCAGTGTCAGCCCTGTTTCCCCCCGGGCCTGGGGCATTAGGGTCACAGGGCAGGTGGGTGGAGCCAGCCTCTCTTCATCCTGAGGGTGGTTGTCTGAGGGGCACTCCCAGAGAGATCCTGGTGGCAGTGGGTCTTACCCTGTGGAGCAGGAGCTTCAGCCTCAGTGCTTCCCCTACTTGTTTCCACAGGGAGCCAGAGAGAGGCTCTGAGAAGAAGGCCAGCGGCCCCCTGTCACCTCCCACCGGACCACCCGGCCCAGCGCCTGCAGGCCCCACTGTGCGGCTTGGCTCTCTGCCCTACTCCCTGCTCTTCCGTGTCCTGTTGCAATGTTTGAAGCAGGTGAGGTGGCCAGTCCCTCGAGCTGTGCTAGGTCAGGCTGAGCAGTGACTGATGCTTCCCAGAGGGCAGTTTTCTTCCTTGTTAACACAGTGGCCTTGGGAGCTTCGCTGCTGGTTTGCAGGTTCCACCAGCAGCTCTGTAACCGTGTTGAGGATCTGGGTGTGGAGCTGAGGGGACATTCCTACCTCCAGGAGATGGTTTTGGTGCAAGACTCAGTGCGTAGATAGATAACTGGAATCAGAGCCGGGCTGGCCTGAGAAGGAGGCACAGATGGGTCATGTGAGACTGCAAGTAGGTGCAGTCACATCAGGGTGAGGGCACTTGGAAGGCAGGTGAGGTCAGTCTTGAAAGGCGGGGAAGTTTCCAGGGGCAGGTGTAAGCAAAGCGTGGAAGTACTCATAGGGTAGGTGCAGTTCCATTGGCGGGGATGGAGCTAGGGCCAAGAGGGGGAGGCAGAAGAGTTTAGGCCTGTTCCCTGATGGGCTGGCAAGAGAGGAGAAGAGGTCCGCCCTGTGCCTCAGCAAGGCGGGGCAGCCTGGAATGGGCTAGGGTGGCTCCTAAGAGCCATGGTGGGAAGCAGGGCTGGACGACGAGGCAGGACCAGGTTCCCAGGGGCGCCAGGTGTTGGCACTAACGGGGACCATTGGAGATTTCCTGTGAGTCTCAAGGCCTCTGTGTCACAGGTGGGATCTGGGAAAGGCTTCAGGACTTGTGGCCTTTGGTGTAGTTCATGGGCAGTGGTCACCCTTAGTGGAGGTTGGGAGGGCTCACTGGCTCGGTCCTGTGGGGCCATGACTGTGTGCTCCCTGTTTCTGTGGCCCTGGGTCGACCTGAGTCCTGTAGCAGGTACCTGGGCTGTGGCTTGTGGGAGGATGCCTGCTGCTGCTCCCTTTAAACTGGGGTGATAGCTTTTTCCTGCTACACCTCGTTGTGCTCTGGGTGGGCATCAGTCGGGCTCCTCGGGTTCAGTGTCGTAGGTAGGCAGTCCCGGGATCCCCGTTGGGTGAATGGGGAGGATGGAGCCAGGTGTGCGAGAAAGTTCCAGGTCCAGCTAAGAGGAGAGAGTGGTGTTGACTCTGCACTGGGCCTCCTGCTCAGCATGGCATTTGGAGAGCAGCTGCCACCCTGCCCAGCTCTACCCAGCCCTCCATACCTAGCCCAGGAGTGTGGAAAACAAGCAAGGAGGTTCAGAGGCCCCCCAGCTGTCCAGCTCCAAACAAAGCTTCAAACTTGGAAACTTCGTCTCCCCTCCCAGTGTACAGACGTCCCCCTGACCTACCCCTTTCCCTGCAGGAGACCGACTGGAAGGTGCTGAAGCTCGTGCTGAGCAAGCTGCCCGAATCGCTGCGCTACAAGGTCCTCATTTTCACGTCCCCGTGCAGCGTCGACCAGCTGTCTTCCGCCCTTTGCTCCATGGTAACAGCTGCTTCCTGCTTCCTTCTCACGGGTCTGGGTGATGGGCCCGGCTGCCGCATAATCCCTCCCTCTCCAAAAGGCTGCGAGGCCCTGGGAGGCAACCTGATGAACCACAAGATGGCATTTCCTTCAGAGATGTGATTCTGTTCGGAGTGGTGGTGCCTCCAGGGCCCTGTCCTTCCTTTCCCAGCTTATAGGGCAGAGAACTAGAGGTCCCCCATGTCGGGCTGGATCTAGCGATACTGATTATGTCTTGTCTCCTTTCCCATCCCTACCTCACTGGGGCTGCTGTGACAAGTGCATCAGTCACATCTCCTCCAGCATCAGGGTGGGTGGCCTCTCACTTCCCTGAAAAGGGAGACCCTTAGCCAAAAAAGGAAGTAGGAAGGGCCCTGGGCTCTCGACCCACCTCCCCCTGGGCCTAAGTTCTCAGGTGCTTCCTTACACCCTCCAGCCACCCAGCAGTTGACCTAGCCGCCAGGCAGGGCTTTATGTCTGGACCTTACTCGTTAGCTTTCAGGTCCCAAGACCCTTGAGCGGCTCCGAGGCATCCCGGAAGGGTTCTCCAGAACTGACCTGCATCTGGCCGTGGTTCCCGTGCTGACGGCTTTGATCTCCTACCATAACTACCTGGACAAAGCCAGACAGGTACCAGAGGGGAGGGAGACAGTCAGGCTTTGTGGTGCTTGGTCCTTAGGATGTTCGCTTCAACTAAGGGAGCCCAACATTGTCCTCCTCACGGAGGTGGCTGCTAGGCCAGGAGGAGGAGAGCTCGCTCTGGTTCTCCATGTGCCCACTGGACCCCTGCGCAGCCTGGAGCCACAGACACATGAGCTCCCTTTGATGTGTGGGCTTAATGCAGCGCTAGACTCTCCTCCTAGGACACACAGCATCTTTTCTCTGAGGCGCGCATTGCTTGGCTTTTCCTTGCTACATGGCTTTAGGACGAGTGGCCAAGCCTCTTGGCATAGCCAGGCCTTTTTAGGAGGCAGTGTGGCCAGGCCAGGGCCCCTCCCAACTTCTACCTTCGCATCTGTCATCAGGGGCAACAAGCATGTGTAGTAATGCTTGCGTCCTTATTCCTTGCTGTCGGGAGCGAGTCCCATGCTGAGCCCTCACATTTATGATTGCATTTAAATTCCCGACACCTTTCTTTGTCACTCTGCCTTAGTTCAGGTAGCCTGCTCCAGGTCACCTGGACCAGCAAGGGGAGGGGCTTACACCCAGACTCTGGGATTTCTGAGTTCTGAGCCCTCACTCCTGATCCTGGTGCTGTTGGGAACTCACACACAACTTCCCATCTCGTTCCCCCAAAGCGGCAGCTGGCTGTGCTGGGCTGAAGGTTCCCTGAGAACCCTCGAGGCCCGAATGTTTCTGAGGGGTTGGGCGGCTGCAGGAAATCAAAATCATCTTTGGGGCCTTGAGCCACCAAGCAGTTTGCCCTGAGGCTGAGGCCCAAGCCCACACGTGGCACTTGTCTCTTGTGGGCACCGCTGTACCGTCTTCATGGAGGAGCTGCCCAGGGTCAGTGTGGGCCTGGCGGCTCTGCTGTGTCAGGCAGAGCCTCCTCTTGCAATAATGCCAACCAGTTGGGGGTCCCAGAACCAAAGAGTTGATGGGCCCAGCATGTCCTGGCGCCAGGGTGTTGGCTGGTGGGGAGTCACCTGACCGGAGGGGCCCTGCTATCCAGTTGGCTCAGTTTGGGTCAGCTGCTGGTGGCTCTGATGGTTAGACGCTCAGGGACCTGGGACAGAGCATTTAGCCTCCGTAAGCCTTGGCCTCCTTCTCTGTAGGACATTCTAGAGTGGGGTGAGGCAGACAAGGCCCTGGCTCACCAGAAGAGCTATCAGCAGACAAAGGCAGGGGAGCGGAGGGCCAGCCTGTGGGGGGCTGGCTCTGAGGCCTGTGTGCTGCCCCACAGCGGGAGATGGTGTACTGCCTGGAGCAAGGTCTCATCTACCGCTGCGCCAGCCAGTGCGTGGTGGCCCTGGCCATCTGCAGCGTGGAGATGCCGGACATCATGATCAAGGCCCTGCCCATCCTGGTCGTGAAACTGACTCACATCTCAGCCACGGCCAGCATGGCCATTCCACTTCTCGAGTTCCTGTCGAGTAAGTGTCTGTAGCTCCATGTGTTTACATGTGTGCACGCATGTTTAAATGTGGGGTAGACCCTTGGGTTTGGGGCTGTGCCCTGCCCTGCTCGAAGGAACCTGTGCTGACTTCTTTGACCTCATCTTGTGACCTTTCTGTGGCTGCTTGTAGGTGCATCATCCTCCTGGGCGCCTGGGACATCCCACACTCGGCTGCCTCAGGGCCTTTGCACCTCCTGACCCTGTGCCTTGAATGCTTTCCTCCTTTCTGGCCTTCAAGGCTCCTTTCTTGCCCTCAGTATCAGTTTAAATGGCGCAGAAGCCTCCTGTCACCTGACATCGGTCCTTGCACTTGGCCTGGCTCTCACAGCCTCCTTTTTGTCCCCCTGAATACACACCCCACAGCTTGGCGAGGGCTTTGCTGACTTGCGGGAGCTCAGGGTGCCTCGCTTGACCCTTCGTTCCCAGTACCCTAGTGTGCATGTGGCCATCAGCTGGCCCTCAGGTGTGTGGATAGTAGGAGCAGAGCAGGGCCAGCACTTCTGCAAAGGGCCACCCATGGCCTCTGCTGCACATTCTTTTTGTTTATAACCCTTTAAAAATGTAAAAATGGTTCTTAACTCGTGGGTCATACGAAGGCAGGCTACTTTTGGCCTAGGAGCCCTTGGAATAGAGAGCGGAGGCCAGGGGTCAGGGGAAGGTCATGTCTGGGTGGGCTGCGACTTCCACTCCTTCGCAGCCCTCTTGGGCCAGAGTGGCTGCACTGGCCTTCAGAAAGAGCACAGGCCCCTGGCGACACCAGCCCCCGCCACAGCTGCGGGCCTGTCTTTGCCTTGCTGGCCTGGGTTCCCTTACTGGCTGTCTCCTTGTGTCACAGCTCTGGCCCGGCTGCCTCACCTCTATAGGAACTTCGCAGCTGAGCAGTATGCCAGCGTGTTTGCCATCTCTCTGCCGTATACCAACCCTTCCAAGTAAGTGCTGGCTGTGCCTCTCGTGGGAGGCCCTGCCCCTCCAGGCTGTGGCCCAGGCCCCCAAGGCGTCTGCTTGCTGGAGGCCAGGCCTCTCGGAGTAGAAAGCCACGCCGGCCTCTGTGTCCTAGAATTCGTCTGTGCTTCCAGCTCCTGGCACGTTTCCCTCAGGTGCCGGGATGGAGCTCCCGCACTTCCCTTTTCTTCTCGTCACAGATTCAATCAGTACATCGTGTGCCTGGCCCATCATGTCATAGCCATGTGGTTCATTAGGTGCCGCTTGCCCTTCCGGAAAGATTTTGTTCCTTTTATCACTAAGGTAAGCCAGTGTCAGGGCTGGGACCGGCTTTGCTGTTGGCTGTCTGTGGCTAGAGCGGAGAGAGAGGTGGGGTGTCATTTGGGGCTCTGCTGAGCCTGGCCCGCTGGGATGCACTCGTTGTGGGCATGGGGGGCAGGAGCTGCTGCCTCCGTCCTGGGCCTGCAGCTCGTCCCAGGCTGGCAGTGTACGTGGGTTGGGCTGATAGGTACAGAGGGAAGAAGTGTTCAGGTGCCTCGCGGGCCAGTGCCCCCGACCTCCAGCTCAGGTCTGCTCCACCCTGCCAGGGCCTGCGTTCCAATGTCCTCCTGTCTTTTGATGACACCCCTGAGAAGGACAGCTTCAGAGCACGGAGCACCAGTCTCAACGAGAGGCCCAAGAGGTATGGGGCCTGCCTTGGGCATGGCTGGTGTCTGGTGGGGTGGGACAGGTCTGCAAGCTGTAACCTGTGACGAGCATGGCGCATGCAGGGCCTGGGGCTGACCAGCTGCCCCCGGGCCAGTGAGTGGAAACGGGATGCGTGACTGAGGGTGTGCCCCCGTGCAGGCTGTGCTGGGTACCAAGGTGCCCTGGGGTTGTGAGGCAGGGCAGGGCCTGTGAAGGCTGCTAGTGCCCTACACAGCTGGCGAGCCCAGCGCTCTCCTCACAAAGCTGGGCCCTGTGGTCTGTGACATCTTGGATCCTGTGCGCTGAGTCGCGGCCAGTCCTGGCCTGCCTGGGCGGCCATTGCCAGGGGCGCCGAGTTGGCCATCTGGGTGCCAGCTGTCGGGCATCTGGGTTGGGGCCTGACTCCAGTGAACGAGCTCAGGGTTGCATCAGGGCATCTGTGACTCCTGAGAAGCCAAACACCTGGCCTGGATGGGGAGGAGCCCCAGGGCCCCAAGGCCGTCCCCCGGGGGGCCTCAGGCCAGGCAGGATGCCCCCCCTCCAGACCTCGCCCCCAGCCCCTTGCTCATCAGGGACACGCTCTCCTCTCCCGTCACAGCTGCTTCCGCCAGATCTGACACAGCTGTGCTCGGCCTTGTGTTCTCGTTGCGTTTCATTTGAACAGCTACTCCCTTCCCGTCCCCCACCTTCCCACCCAAGCTTTTTTGGCTCTCCCTAGGTGGGAATACGGCATTTTCCAGAATGACCAGGTCAGTGTGACCTAAAATCAAAAGCTGTTTTCTCAAGCCCCTGGTGGCTGGGGGCCAGGGGCCTTTAGCTCAGAACTGACCCCTTTGGACAGTTACTGTCAGGGCCTCAGCTCTGCCTGGTCCCTGAGCTGGGCAGTGCTGGCCTCCCAGGGCAGGGGGATGCCTGGTCAGTACAGCCTGGAATCTGCCGTGCGGCGCGATACCCACGTTTAGTTGGCACTAGTGTTCCTCGTTTTGGTGTCATGCGTGAAACCTGACTTTTTCTCAGTCATGTTTACAAGATATATTTTCATGCATTTTTGTTTTCTGTTTCTTCCCCCTGCTAACTGGCTTCTGGCATGGTTTTTTGTTCATCTCACCTGTGGGCTCTCCATCCTGACCCTGTGGCCTGTGACCTTTCCTCCTCATCCCTCCAATGGCTTGCTCTCCCCTCCCGGGAGCTGGGCTCTCTGGGGCTTGGGCCTTCCTTCCTCACCTGGTAGTTTGAGGATAGCCAGACCCCCCAAACAAGGCTTGAATAACTCTCCACCCGTCAAAGAATTCAAGGAGAGCTCTGCAGCCGATGCCTTCCGGTGCCGCAGCATCAGTGTGTCTGAACATGTGGTCCGCAGGTAGTGGGCTTTGTGGGGTGGGGGGCTCAGACCCTGGAGCTTGGTCCGTGAAGTGGCGCTGCCAGGCGGGAGCACCTGGGTGGCGGTGCATGGGGCTGCTTGCATGACCTCGTCGTCTGCCCATGCCCTCCCTGGCCAGAGCTGGAGGAGAGCCCGAGTGGCAGCCTTTGGGCCACAGGGACCCACCCTGCTGAGCTTAGCCCTCGGACCAGGGAGCCTGGCAGTGAGGGTTGGGAAGGTTGCATTCTGTCCCCAAGCCTCGTATGAGCACGGGCTGGCTGCACGGTGTCCTCAGGCCGGCCGGGAAGCCCAGAGCAGGGTTGGCTGCTGTGAGAAAGTGTCCAGAGGCAGCCGCCTGCCGGCCTGTCCTGGGTGGTCAGGGGCCTTGCCAATTAAAGCAGCGCCCATGCAGGTCGGGTGGGAACACTCTCTCCAGGGTTTGGCTTTTCATATCCTCTCGAGTGGACTTTCCTCTTGAGCTTTCTTCAAGAAAAGGCCTGCTTTCCATGGTAGCTGAAAGGGATTGGAGACTTCTGTATAGGGCAGTGGGGGTGAGGGTGGGGGCCAGCCTGGGAGGGGCTTGGCAGGGGAGGCCTGGACTCTCAAGGGGTGCAGTCTTGGTCACTCCTCCCTGCTGTGTCCGGGTGCAGGTGTAGGCTCTCGGGAGTCACTGCTGTGTGCCGACCAGGCCAGGCTGCACTGAGCAGGGGTTACCTGTCTCCTCACCCAGAAGCCCCTTCAGGCCTCTGTGTCACGAAGCTCGGAGACCCACCTCCTCGCTGACCCCTGGCTTGGGCTTCAGCCTCAGGCTGGCCTCCACTGAGTGGCATTTGGGAGGGAGAGGGAGGGAGGTGGTCAGTGAGTCTCCCCTCTTAGCTCTCTTCCAGCAAATTCTTTATTGTGAGCAAGACCTGGCAAAGGGGCTGTGGAATTGGTATCAGAATTAAACCTGCATAAGCCCCTCCTGGTCACTGGGCTGCATGTGGAGCACTGGGTGGCCTGAGTGTGAGGGCGAAGAGCCACACACCAGGCCAAGACCCTCTCTGTCCTCGATGGGAGGTGGCCCTGTGGGCAGAATGCAATCTTTGTGCGTGTGTCCCATGGTCTCCCTGTCTCTGCATGACTAAACCGTTCTGCCACGAAGCCATCGCCTAACTCTCCTGTGCTTCGGTGAGGGGACGTCCTGTCTCTCTCGCCCCCTAAGCCTCTGCCCTTGGGAGCGGGCCTGGGTCTCTCCCAGGAGTTCCTGCTCCGCCTCTCTTGGGGGCAATGTGACTCTGTTTGCCAAGCTGTGGCTTTAATGGCCACGCGCCCTGGTGGGGTCTTTCTGAGCTCGGCTCTCAGCACATGCATGCCTCCATCTCTGGTCCCTGGTGGTAGATGAATCTGCCTTCCCGGCGCCCTGATCTTGCCGTGGCCCTTCCCTTCAGCAGGATCCAGACGTCTCTCACGAGCTCCAGCTTGGGGTCTGCAGATGAGAACTCGATGGCCCAGGCTGATGACAACTTGAAAAATCTCCACCTGGAGCTCACAGAAACGTGTCTGGACATGATGGCCAGATATGTGTTCTCCAACTTCACGGCGGTCCCCAAGAGGTATGGCCAGGCTCCAGGACCAGGGCACGTTGGGAGGCGCGGGGCCCAGCTTTTCCCCTGTGACTGTACTCGGTCAAAGCCGTGGCAGCAGACATGGCCTGTGGGCCTCCTTCCTGCTGTCCTCCCCGCCCTGGCAGGGCGGCTGTGCATGTCTGAGTCTTCCCCTCTGGGGATGTGGACCCGCGTGCATGATCAGGGGGTCTTGGGAATCCAAGATGCCTGTCTGGAACCCCCACCGGGAGAGGGTTTGCCAACGCTCCTGTGCTTTCAGGTCCCCCGTGGGAGAGTTCCTCCTGGCCGGTGGCAGGACCAAAACTTGGCTGGTTGGGAACAAGCTTATTACCGTGACAACGAGTGTGGGGACTGGAACCCGGTCGCTGCTGGGCCTGGACTCGGGAGAGCTGCAGGGCAGCCCAGAGCTGAGGTGACTGCACCTACCGTGCCCTGCCTGCTCAGCCTAGATGGTGGCTGTCCTGAGCCCAAGCCTTCATGGGACAGTGCTGTGCTGGCCTGGTGCCCATGTTACCCCAGTAACATTCTGCGGGGGCCCTTCTGTCCGCAGCTCTGACCCCAGCATGCACGTGAGACAGACAAAGGAGGCACCAGCTAAGCTAGAGTCGCAGGCTGGGCAGCAGGTGTGCCGTGGGGCCCGGGACCGGGTCCGCTCCATGTCTGGTGAGCTGCTGCCGCACCCTGCCCCGCTACCTCATAGATGCATCTGAAGGCCCCCGTGCTCAGGAAGGCCCCTGGGAGCCAAGGGACAGGCGGTTGGCTTCAGGCCTGGCCCAGTTCCTGAATAATGCGGTGGTGTCTCTGTAAACCCTCGTCCCAGCAGGGTATGTGTGGCGGGGGGGGGGTGATGGGGAGATGCACCTTGCTCACAGCTGCTGAGGGACTCCTCAGGCAAATGTTTCCTACCAGCCCTCAGGATCCCTGGCCCTCAGCTCAGCTTACCCCTGGAGCTTTTCTCTGGTGCAGCTGGAATGAGCCATGGTCCAACAGTGGCCGGTGCTGGGGCCCCTTCCTGCGGCTCTCGGTCCACTGAGGCTGATACCATAAGAGGGCCATGCTAGGGAGGGCTGAGCTACACTGTGCACTGACCCAGGGCTTTTTGGTCAGATGGGCCCTGAGCAGCCAGGTCTGTGCCGGTGGCTTTGCACTGGGCAGGTAGTGGTCACCAGCCCTCCTGTCCTCATTTCCTTCAGGGGGCCACGGCCTTCGCATTGGTGCCCTGGACGCTCCAGTCTCCCATTTCCCAGGTGGCCCCACTTTGCCAGGCCCACAGACTGCAGCGGCCTGCAAGCCTGAGAAGGCCTCAGCTGCCACCCAGCTCCCAGTGCAGAAGGAGAAGACGAACCTGGCAGCCTACGTACCCCTCTTGACCCAGGGCTGGGCGGAGATCTTGGTCCGGAGGCCCACAGGTACTGAGGGGGTGGCCCTGTGCTCAGCCAGCTTGGGCCTTACCACTCTTACCACATAGTGAGTGTGGGACAGTTCCCCATAAAGAGTGAGCAGTAGGCAGAATGGGGCCACAGGAGCATTTGGGAGGTGACTTTTGAGCTAAGTTCCCAGAGGTGAAAAGTAGAGGGGATGTAGGTGGCTAAGTGGGGACGTAACAGTCTGCTGGGGCACCATAACCAAGTACTCTAGACGAGGTGGCTTATGCAACAGAAATGTATTTCCTCCCAGGCCTGGAGTCTGGAAGTTCGAGATCAAGGTGTTGACAGCGCTGGTTCCTATTCCCAGGTGGTCATCCCTCTATGTATGTCCTCTTCTCCTGAGGCGCCAGTCAGATTGGATAGAGCCCACCCACGTGGCCTTATTTTACCTTAAACACCTATTTAAAGACCGCATCTCCAAATATAGTCACATTCGGAGGTCGTAAGGGTTAGGACTTCAACCTGTGAATTTTGGGGACACAGCTCAGCCCATAATGTGTATTTTAGGGTAAAGGAAGGACTTAGAAGCCAAGGCCCAGGGCCCAGTGATTCAACCTCAGTCACTGGGCTAAGTGGTGACCCGAGTGCTGAGAATGACAGGGTGCTGGGCCCCATGGAGGCTTTGAGTGCTGGGCTGCAGAGCTGTGGGGGTGGGGCCAGGAGAGGCTCCTCGTGTGTGTGTCCCCCTGGTCCCTGTCGGAATGGGCAAGCAGGCGGCAGGAAGACCTGGTGAGAAGGTCCAGGTGGGGCAGGAGAAGGCGAGCCTGGGTCAGGTGAGACATGGGATGTGAGGATGTCAGTCAAGAAGGTCAAGGCAAAGCATGGGCCCTGTGCCTTGTGGGGAGGACAGAGCCCAGATGCCTCCCCAGCTGGGCCCAGCCCTCTGGGGAGGAGTTTGCCGCTTTGAGATGCCTCCTGAGCCTGACCTGGGGCAGCAGAGTGCTTGTCACTGAGGTAGGTGACCCCCAGCCAGGTGTTGCCCTGAGCAGCTGGGCAAAGCCAGGGGCATGCCTTGCATAGGGCCTGCTTCTTCCCCTCGATGCCACTCCTTGCTTGAGCACGAGGAGCCCTGCAGCCCCGACACGTGCCCTTGAGGATGGCATATTGGGCTGCCCAGTGAGGGGCAGGAGGGGGTGGCTGGCTGGATGCGTGGGGCCTGCAGCCTGAGGGGAGCTACCCACCTTCTCCAGGGAACACCAGCTGGCTGATGAGCCTGGAGAACCCGCTCAGCCCCTTCTCCTCGGACATCAACAACATGCCGCTGCAAGAGCTGTCCAATGCCCTCATGGCCGCTGAGCGCTTCAAGGAGCGTCGCGACACGGCCCTGTACAAGTCACTGTCGGTGCCAGCGGCCGGCTCAGCCAAGCCCCCCCCACCCCCACGTTCTAACACAGGTGAGCACTGACCTAGCTCCTACTGGTGGCCCACTGTGTGAGAGCATGTGGTTCCCCCCAGCTGTGCGGATGCACCTGGCGGGGGTGTCCCTAAGCCTCCCTTGGCACCACCAGCCTTGGGCATCACAGGAGCCTGGCGGTGGGCAATCGCCTGTACTCTGGACTCGGACGTTTAGGAGTGGGGCCCTCCAGCAGAAGGGCCTCTCCCTGGAGACGCGGTGCCTATGGAGGACAGGGCTGTGAGGACCCTTTGCCCTGCACCCCGTCAGGGTGCCCAGTGCACAGGGCTCCCGGGGCGGCCGCATTTCTGCTGGGGACGAGTTTGGATGCGCCGAACACAGCCTGAGCCTGCCTGCGCATTCTCATGCCCCTGCCCGGTTGGCCTGGGCCGTCCTTCTAGGCCGCCCTCTGGCCACAGATGGCGCTTAGAGGCTAAGGATCTCTGCTCCTCAGGAGGAGGGCCGCACTCCCCTCCCGAAACGTCTGCTTAAGCACCTTGGAGAGCTGGGACTCCACATGCGCCCTGCCCGCCCGCCCGCCCGGACGCCGCTGGCCCTCCCCTCTCTCTCTCCAGGCTCGGGGGCTGTGCAGGACTAGTGGTGCCTGTCCTCTCTGCTCGACCTGTGCGTAGTCTCTGCTGACTGGCCGCTCACGGCTTCCCTTGCAGTGGCCTCTTTCTCCTCCCTGTACCAGTCCAGTTGCCAAGGAAAGTTGCACAGGAGCATTTCCTGGGCAGGTATTCGTGCGTCTCCGTAGGAAAGCGGGGTTCGCTGCAGAGCCCTGCTCTGCCTCATAGGTGCTGTTCTCACTGTCCCTCATCCGCTCATCCCTCCATGATCCCGTCAGCCTCTCATCGCCGTCCGGGAGCAGGGCCCCAACTCGCATGAGGACGTCTGTGCAGAATGCCTTTGCTTTGCCGGCGGGAACCCCTCTGCCTTGCACCTTTGTGGCTGAACTCTGTTCCCAAGCTGGACAGGCCCTCCCAGCCCCTTCTTCAGGCCTGAGGAGGTGACATTGGGCAGCTGAGCCACAGATGCTGGCTGGCATCACCTTTTTTGGGGGGAGCCTGGCCCTGGGGCTCAGCCGAGCTGACCTTGCCCTGGCCTCTGATGGTCTGATTGGCTTTGTGAACCTACAAATTGGGCTGCATCTGCCTTTTGTCATGGCCTGGCTGAGGGCCCTGTAGACCAGCCTTTGGCCCGTTGCCCCAAGGCCCTGGCAGGGAGGGTTTGACCTGCTTGACACTCTGGCCTGCCTGGATGCCCACGCATGGGCAGGAGCCAGTGGGGAAAGGGCAGTGTGCAGATGGGCTCTGGCGGCAGCTAACGGACTGCACGTGTGCAGGGTTGTGTGCAGGTGGCCGCAGGCTGTGCTTAACTCCCGGTTGCTGCTTCTCACCGCCTCTGCCCGGATGCTGGCTCAGGAAATGCTGCTTTGGGGCATCAGGCCCTCCCTCTCCTGAGCACGCCTGGCTCCGGGTTTGGCTGGGACCCAGAAGGCGAGCCTCGGCTTCCCAGAATGGGCTCCTTAGGCCATGTGCACACAGGGACTTCTCCTGTGTCAGTCTGTCTTCCAGTCCAGTCAGGGACTCTTTACCCGGTTCCTGGGGCTGGTCCAGCCGTTCCTCCTGAGCTGAGGCCTCGTCTCAGATGTTGCTCCTTCATCTCGGGGTCCGTCTGCCCTCGCCTACCTGCCTTGCTGGAGGAGCAGAGGCAGCTGTGGATACCGGGCCGGGCGGGTGGGGATTAAAGGAGCCACGTGCCCCCTCATCCTGACCCTCGGTAGCCCGTGTAGGAGACACAGTGTGTCAGGGCTCACACCCAGGCCCCTCAGAATGCCTTCACCAGCTGGCTTGATGGGTGGCGGTGGCTTAGAGCCACAGGCAAGGAGAGCCTTGGGTGAGGCTGGGCTGGGGGCCGCTGTGCCCTCCTGTAGGGGAAAGGCTGATACCTCTGAGGCCATGCGAGTTCCCAGGGCCCAGCCAGCACCCAGCAGCCCTGTCTCTGTCCACCCAGACTCTGCGGTAGTTCTGGAGGAGGGAGATGCAGGTGAGGCTCACTTGCTGATGGAGCCCCCGGAGTTGGAGGACTTCGAGGCCACATTAGGCACAGATAGGCGCTGTCGGGGTGCTGAAGCGTACAGCAGGGTGAGTCCAGCTGGGTGCCAGAGCTTCCCACCTGAGGAGCCCTGTGAGTGCCTCCAGGAGACCACATGGGCTCCGAGACCTCAGCAGGAGCCACTGGGAGTTGGGGCGGGGGTGGGGGTGGGGGAGGAGAGGGGAGGCTGAGAGGCGGGGTCTCAGGTGCCAGGGCGGGGCTGAGTTAGGCAGAGGGTCAAGGCAACCAGGTAGGATCTGAGGCTGGCGGAGGGCAGGGCCCCCCACTCCAGGCTTTGTGGCTCAGCTTGGACTTGCTCTGAACTTGAGCAAGACTTTTGCCTCCTCTTTGTCACCTAAAAAATGGCTAGCTGCTTTCCCCAGTCCCTTCTACCCAGTGGATTTCCCAGGGTTCCATCTAAGGATGGCTTCTCCCTGGTGCCATCCTTTGGTTTGTGGTGCTCTCGGCTCCTCTGCTCAGCATAGGACATAGGCAGGTGCTGCCCTTGTGGGGGTTGGGACCATCCACTTGGTGCTGGGTGGCCCTGTGGGGCCTCATCGTCTCCAGGTAAAGCCCAGATGGGCTTAGTGGCACCTCCTGATGAAGCTTCTCCTTGGATATGTTCTTTCTAGTCATCTTCAACCTCTAGCCAGGAGGAGAAGTCGTTCCGCGCAGAGGACCTGGCTGCTGGCGGGATCCCCATTGGGCAGACTGTCTCCTCCAAGGCAGCCCGGCCCTCTGTGGACCTCTCCTTCCAGCCCTCACAGCCCTTGAGCAAGTCCAGCTCCTCACCTGAACTGCAAACTCTGCAGGACATCCTTGGGGACCCTGGGGACAAGGCTGATGTTGGCCGGCTGAGCCCTGAGGCCAAGGCCCGGTCACAGTCAGGGATCCTAGATGGGGAAGGCACTTCCTGGTCAGCCCCAGGCGAAGAGAGCCGGGGCCCCATCCAGCCCGAGGGTCCCTTGCCTTCCAGCTGTCCCCGCTCCCCCAGTGGCCTGCGGCCCCGAGGCTACACCATCTCGGATTCTGCCCCATCACGCAGGGGCAAGAGGGTGGAGAGGGACTCCTTCAAGGGCAGAACCGGGGCCTCCAATGCTGAGAAGGTGCCAGGCATCAACCCCAGGTGAGCCTCACCTTCCAGGCTAGAGCTCCTGAACTCTCCCCATGCGAACGTGGCACCTAAGGGACCCTGGGCAGAGCAGGCCGGGGTCTAGGTTTGCATGTGCTCTGCCCTGCTCAGGGCCCCAGGAGAGGGCAGTCCTTGGGCGATGCTCTCTGTGGGGGCTGTGGCCCAGTCTGGTACCTACAGTGCCAGGCCCAGCCCTCACCAGCTCTCCCTCTGCAGCTTCGTGTTCCTGCAGCTCTACCATTCGCCTTTCTTTGGTGACGAGTCCAACAAGCCAATCCTTTTGCCCAATGAGGTGGGCATGCAGGGACCCCTGGAGCCCGGGTGGTGGGTACACAGTGGGTTGCCTGGCTCTGGGTAGTGGTTAGTGGTGGCCATAGCCCTCAGCTCCCTGTGGCAGCCTGTGGTAACCTACCAGGGTGGGGAGAGCCCTCCCCTGGGCAGGCACCCAGCTGAGGCTGGCTGGGCAGGGCTGGTGGCAGGGGATAGCTCTACCCTGGACTTAGGCAGGACTCTCTGGCTACAGTCCTTCGAGCGGTCGGTACAGCTGCTTGACCAGATCCCATCATACGACACGCATAAGATTGCCGTCCTATACGTGGGAGAAGGCCAGGTGAGGTTGCTGGTGTGGCAGGGGCTGGCCTGGGTGCCAGGGCGGAACTGGGCGGTATCCCTGCCTGGGGCAGGGGTTGGGGGTCTGGGCCCTTATCCTTCACAGAGCTCAGTCACTGCACGAGCTGCTAGAGCATCGAGTGGTTATTGAGCTCCACACCAGGTACTGTGCTGGTGCCAGGACACAGGTGTGTGAGCATGTGGTATCCCAGAGAGGGGAAGGTATTAGGTCCCGCGAGACTGCAGGTTTGGGCAGGGTGCTGTTCACATCAGTGACCCAAGGGAGGAGACACTGAGCAGAGATGTGATGGAAGTCAAGGAGGTGAGCACGCATGCAAGTGTGTGTGGAAGTGTCCTGTGCAGGAGCAGCCAGTGCAGTCCCCGGGGAGGGGCCAGCACGGAGTGAGCACTGGGCAGGGGGTGGAGGAGTAACGGGGAGGGGCCGAGCCAGCTGCTGTGCGGCTGCGCTTTGTTCTCAGTGAGGCAAGAGAACTTCGGATGGTTCTGAGCCAAGGGTTTGAGATGACTCAGCCAAAGTCTCAAAAGTATCCCTCTCTCTGGCTGCCATGTGAACTCGTGGAAGTGGGGTGGTGACAATCGAAGTGAGAGGGACAGGTCTGAAGAGTCGGTCAGTGGAGTGCTGAGGAATGCTAGGGTTTTAGGTGTATTTTGAAGACTGAGCTACCATATTTGCTGGCAGACTAATGATGACAGACAAGTCAAGGCTGTCACCTGGGCAACTGCATTCCAGCAGTTGCCCTGCACCGAGTCTGGGTTGACGGCAAAAGCACGGCTCTCTACCAAGCCACCCTAGTCACCACCCCTAGCCCCCAGCACCAAGAAGCCCTCGGGGCTTTGGGAGCCATGCCGGGGGCAGTGTGTGGATGGGGGGCAGCCTGGAAGAGGTGCCACCATGCTCCTTCCTTCTTTCTCCCTACAGAACAACAGTGAGCTCGCCATCCTGTCCAACGAGCATGGCTCCTACAGGTACACGGAGTTCCTGACGGGCCTGGGCAAACTCATTGAGCTCAAGGACTGCCAGCCAGATAAGGTGTACCTGGGTGGCCTGGACGTGTGTGGCGAAGACGGCCAGTTCACCTACTGCTGGCATGATGACATCATGCAAGGTGTGTGCCTTCTTGTGGCACATGCCCCCCCCCCCAACCCCATTCCTGTTGGCCCACCCTTGGGAGCAGTGGAGGTGCCCAAGGTCCCCAGGTCCCCACCAGCCTGGGCACTGAGGCAGCAATTGGGCTGGCAGCTCTGCTTCCAGAAGCTCTGCTCTTGGGGAGAGGAGCCAAGTGCTACCAGCTGGACACCAGATGTGGCTTCTGCAGGCACTCCCAGCCTCTGGGGAAACCGAGATGCTCCTCGTGAGAAGCACAGAGGGCCCCCTGACCTTGGCCGCACCCCCTCCATCCCAACAAACCCTTGCCAGCACCCTGCCTGGGCCATGCCGTGCCCACTCTACTTGTCCCCATTCCACCTCCCAGCTGTCTTTCACATCGCCACCCTGATGCCCACCAAGGATGTGGACAAGCACCGCTGCGACAAGAAGCGCCACCTGGGCAATGACTTCGTGTCCATTGTCTACAATGACTCTGGCGAGGACTTCAAGCTGGGTACCATCAAAGTGAGTGAGGGGCCCTGAGCGCGGGCCTGGAGCCGGGCCCCCAGCACCCTGGCTGAGGCCACATCTCTGGGGAAGTGCCCAGTGGTACATGTTCAGTGGAGACAGCAAGTACCGTCGGGGTCAGCGTGGTGAGAAGTAGGAGCACTGACCCGCTTTAGTGTCCCCCACTGCCAGCTGGAGTGGGTAGGTCACCCCTCTGAGCCTGTGTCCTTCTCTGTAATGAGGATGACAACCCCGTCGGTTTCCTCATGGAGCCTGTGGTGCCTGCTGCTGTGGTTTTGCAGGAATGACTGAATTAATGTGCACGTGCCTATTAGCAGGGTGTAGTGCATAGTAGGTGCTCAGTGTGCTCATAACGCTGAGCCCTTTTCCCCTGGTACCTCCTCGTGTCATTGCACAGAGCGGATGTGGGGGTCAGCCCTGGTATTCGCCCCCTTTCCTACACGAGGACTTGAGGTGGGCTCAATCCAGGTGACTTGTCACAGGGTGGGGATGTGGAAGACAGCTGCGAGGCCAGGTGGGCCAGGGAGCCTGGTGCAGTCCAGGCAGCTGAGGGGCTGGTGCTCAGAGGGGTTCAGATTTATTCCAAACCAGACCCCAGGGCTGCTGGGCAGAGAATCTGGTGGACGGCAGGGGTACCTGTGGGCTGCAGAGCTGGGAAAGCAGGGGCCCAAGGGGTAGGTGGTGGAGCCCTTCCTGAAGTGGGGCCCTGGGGCATGCTGTCACTGGCCGCTGAACACACTTGGATGTGTGGGCTAGAGAGGCTCTGGGGGTTGGCAGGTAGGGGGTATCAGCATGTGGGGAGCATCAGAGCCAGGGGCTGGGAGCTCCACATGCTGTTCTCGGTAGACTGCTGGGTGGCAGTGGGTGCCCCAGGTAGTGTATTGGGGAGCTCTGATTAAGGCCCTGTGAATTTAAACTCTGGTAAAGTCAGGTGCTCGGGTGTGGAGTAGGTTGGGTTTTAGGAGGTCAGGCAGTTAAATTGAGGTATGGCAGCCCTGGCCCCCAGGCTGGGTAGGAGAAAATGGGGGTGCAAAGGTGGTGAACACACGTGCTTGTGGAGCTGGCATATAACACCAATGAGCTGCTGCCCTCATGAGGCAATGGCGGAAAGTGGCCCTTGGTGCTCAGGTGACCCTGCTTTGTCTCTGCAGGGCCAGTTCAACTTTGTACATGTGATCATCACCCCCCTGGACTACGAGTGCAACCTGGTGTCGCTGCAGTGCAGGAAAGGTAAGGCTCGGGGCTGGGTGTGGGGGGGTTGGGGGTAAGGCTCGGGGCTGGTCTGAGCCCCACGTGAGCGCCGTGTCTCCCCAGACATGGAAGGCCTCGTGGACACCAGTGTGGCGAAGATCGTGTCTGACCGCAACCTGCCCTTCGTGGCCCGCCAGATGGCCCTGCACGCAAATGTGAGCAAAGGTGGCATCCAGAGCGGGTGGGACGAGCTGCAGGGGCTCCCTTAGAGGGCTCACGTTTGTCCACCCTGCCCAGATGGCGTCGCAGGTGCACCACAGCCGCTCCAATCCCACCGACATCTACCCCTCCAAGTGGATTGCCAGGCTCCGCCACATCAAGAGGCTCCGTCAGCGGGTAGGAGGATGCGCGCGGGGCTCCCCAGAGGGTGGTGGCTGGCCAGGGCTCCCCTTCTGGGCTTGCTGCCAAGGCCCCCTCTCCCCACAGATACGTGAGGAAGCCCACTACTCAAACCCCAGCCTGCCTCTGATGCACCCCCCGGGCCATGCCAAAACCCCAGCACAGGCCCCGACTGAGCCCACACCCACCTACGAGACGGGCCAGCGGAAGCGCCTCATCTCCTCCGTGGACGACTTCACAGAGTTTGTGTGAGGCTGACTGGGGTGACGCCTGGTCCAATTGGGGTTCCTTGTGGCTGTCGTCTGAGCAGCCACACACTGCTGGACCCTCCCTGCCCAGAACTGGGCAGTATTTATTTGCACACGTGAATAAAGTGATTGTGCGGCCCAGCAAGGCCTGCTGCTGTGCCCACCGGCCCTCAATGATCAGACACAAGCAGTCAGCCAACTTTTTATTTGACTTCGTCGGGTGGGGGTGGGGGCGGGACAAGGCTGTAGCTTCAGCTGTGCCCACAGAAGCGGTACGGGGGGGCCTGTCGGCCAGGAAAGCCTGTCACACGTGCTGACGCTCTTCTTCCCCAGTCCCGGGAGCCAGCCCCAAGGAGGGTTTTTTTTCCCCTAACCACCCTGGGTCCTTTGCCACACACTAGTCCTGTTCCTCACCCAGACCCGACACCAGCAGGCCAGGGCTCTGCCTTCTTGCTGCCCAGCCTTGGGCAGGGCAGGAGAACAAGGCCACGGTGGTGATAAGAACTGTCTAGGAGGTGGCTGTGCCCTCCAGCACCTGCCCAGGGCCAGACTCAGACCCCAGAAGCAACTTGTTTCTTCGGCCCGGGCCATGTGGGCTGGTGTCAGGAGGGCGGCCAGCTCTAATCCCAGCTCCCCCTCAATGCAGGCGACAGTGGCACTGGGCTGTGTCAGCCACCAGGCCCATGGCCCTGGTGAAAAATACAGCGACGTACAAAAATATATACATTTTAACCCCATATAAATTACTGACAATAGACACACAGATGGCAGCTGGAAAGTGAGTGCACTCAGCAGGGGGCAGGAGAGGTAATAATTTAGGGGGAGGACTACAGGAGTGCAGGTTCCCTCCCCATAGCCTGGATCCTTAGCAAGGGGGAGATGTCTGCCCAGGAGGTGGGGCCGGGCACAGCCCGCTGTACCTGAGGACGTGGGAAATAAATTAGTGTCTCAGAGGCTGGGCACTCGTTCCAATACTGCTGTGTCCTCCCACAGGGAGCTGGGGAGGGGACCCTGGGTCCTAGCTGGCCACGCTCACGCGGCCTCTTTAAAGTGCTGAAGCCCACAGAGACTCAGACAAGTGCTGCCCACTCTCTGGGGGACCTGCGTGCAGCTGTTCTGCTCAGCCCGAGACCTTGAGGGCGGCAGAAGGTAATACTGAGCGGTGTCTCTCCGGCTCCAAGGGGATGGAGTGAAGCCACAGGCCCGCCGTGGGGAAGGAGCATGCGCTCAGGTCCCCTGGGGCTAAGTGCTGCTGGGGTGGACCTTGTTCTTGGCCTGCAAGGAAGCCCTGCTGGGGCCTGTAGCCAGGCCAATGCCTCGACTGGCCCGGGCAAGGCGGCTGGGCAGGGCTGGCCGCAGGCCTGGGGAAGGGCCAGGGGGAAGAGAGGCTGGGGGCCGGCTGTTCCTGTGGCCATGCAGGCTTTGTAGCCGCCGCTCCAGCTGATAGACGTCCTCTGTAGCCTGGTTGAGTCGGTCAAACTGGGCAAGCAGGGCCTCGAACACGGCTTGGAGGCGGGAGGGTTCGGGCTCCCCCCGCGGTCCCAGCCGGCTCAAGCCCATGCTCAGCCCCTCCAGCTGGCTGGAAGAGGTGGAGGGGCGCGAGGCATCAGAGTCCCCACTCGGCGGGGGCATATCCGAGGATGACTTGGAGCCCCTGGATGAGCGGGAGGGCAGCGGCTCCATCCCTTCAAAGCGAACTTTGTGGCGGAACTGGGGGCGGCACAGGGGCTCGGTCAGTCCGGCTGCGCCCTGGACTCACCTGGGTCCAGGGCGCGTCCCTCTCCCCCCCACTGGGCCGTACCCACCTCCTTGACCTTGCTGAAGCCCATCCAGAGTCGCAGCCTGCGCAGTAACAGTTCGACCATCTCATAGTCCTGAGGCTCCCAAGCTGGGCGGTAGAGCTCCCCACGCAGAGTGTGATACCTCCATCGCAGGAGGACAGCCCCCAGCCTCAGGGCCCCCCATAGCCGCAGGGCCCAGAGCCCTGTGCACAGAAGCGGGGACAGGCGCCAGGACTCCGCGGGGCACAGGGTGGGGCCCCCAGTCCCCGGACACAGCACCAAGAGGGCTCGGGCAGCACTCCGAAGTGAGTCCACGCAGGAGGATACCAGCTGCAGGAAAGGTGGCATAAATGAGGGGCGTGCCCCTGGCTAAGCCTCCCCCAAGGGACCTCCTGTTACCTACCAAAACAGCCAGCTGGGCGTAGGCCACGGCGAGTACCACCAGGCATAAGGCTGCCCCCAGGAGCTCCGGCAGGGCCCGGCATAGCGTCTTGCCAAAAACCGACCACTGACGCACGAAGCGCAGCTGCTGGGCGGCCTGTGGGCAAGGGGTGTCAGCCGACCAACCAAGCCTGGCCCAGCTCGCCCAGCCCCACCCCAGCCCGCCGGCCCGGCCCTCACCTTGATCAAGAGCAGGAAGAGCAGTGAGGCGGCCAGGCCACGGGCCGCGGTGCTCAGCTGCGCGACCTGCTCGAAGCTGGTGAAGCGGCGTGGGCGGCGGCGCACGAAGCGCGTCCACTGGCGGTCAGCGGCTCCCAGCTGGGCCAGGCGCACCAGCGCTGCGGCCGCAGTCAGCGCCACCAACAGCCACCGCGCCCAGGCCCCGGGCCGCGCCTTGCGCGAACGCCCCTCCCTGCGCCAGGCACGCCCCTCTGCCAAGGAGAAGTAGAGCGCGAACAGCAGCAGGCTCACCTGCGGGGAGGGGGGTGGTCAGGGACCGTCTGGATACACCGGGGGTGGTGGTACGTGCTAGGTATTTGATAGGGTGGGGTCAGGACGGGGGTGGGGCTGAGGGTGTGGGCGGGGTTGGGATGCGCTGTGACAGGGGCCAGGAGGGCGGAGCGTACCGTGGTGAGCAGTTGCAGGGAGAGGCCTGCGCTCAGGCGCCGCAGCGCGAATGGACGCACGCTGAGGGCCGCCACTGCCTGTCCGGCAACGGGAAACTCGAGGCGCAGTGTGACAGCGGCGTGCAGCCCCACGGCCGGGCTGTAGCGCGTGAGCTCCACAAACACCGCACGGCTTCTGCGTGGAGGGCAGGGGTGAGGGGCGGGGCCTTAGGCAGCAGGGGTTCCGTGGACTGGGAAGGAAGTGGAGGCCACTTCAGGAATCAGGAGCTAAAAAGCTAGGGAGTGGGAGTCAACTGGAACCTCTGATGGGGGGAACCACTGATTAGAGGGGACCACTGATGAGAGGGGGCAACGGATGGGGGGGACCACCAAGGGTAGGGTAGACAGTGGCAGGGCGAGGTTGCCTGTCTCCTGAGAGCCTACCTGTTGTCGATCCAGTTGTGCAGCTGGAGGAAACCCAACTGCGTGCGGCTCTCCTCCAGGCTCAGCCCCAGTTCCTGCACATAGCCCCCGCTGTCGTACACGGCGCAGTAGCCCCAGTACCAGACGCTGTGGGTGAAGCAGTGTTAAGAGATGGCCCAACCCTGCAGGAACCTGGGAGTCAGGCTGAGGTGAGGGGGGTCCTTTGGAGAACTCCCTCTGCTCACCCCAGCAGGTCTGGTGCTGAGTAGGCCCAGGTCTCCGAGCTGTTGTGGGCAGCACTCCCCCAGCCAATGCCATAGTCACTGGTGCTGAAGCTGCCTGACGCTGCTGAACATGTGTGCGCCCCAGAGCCTGGAGGGTCTGGGCAGAGGGCTGAAAGCAGAGGACCGGGGAGTGAGCATGACCAAGCCAGGGGCACTTACTGTTCACCAATCACCTGGGCTGAGCTCCACATGAGCTCCCCGAACCCTCCCAGCAACCCTGAAGGTAGATATCATGGCCTCACTGACATATAAGGAAACTGAGGCAGGCAGAGGGTAAAGGTCACACAGCCAGGTCCCTGAACCAGAATCCACTCAAAGGCTTCTCTTTGGAAAAGGTCAGGGACAAGTGCTAGAGTGCCCTTCCTCCCCCACCAGCTCACCTTCCTGCAGCCGCACCTGCCGCAACCGTGTGGGCCCCAGCTCTGGGCTGGATTGGTTCCCGTGGACGTAGGGCAGCAGCACGTGGGACATCCACGGCCAGAACTCATCAGACCTGCCCACACCAGACACAAAGTCACACGCTCCACCCCTCAGCTTCCTGTGCTGCTGGAGGCCCCAGGCCCCAGGAGCAGAACTACTGCAGCCCTGGCCCAGCCCATAGGAGGCTGCCAGTGCCACCCAGGGGACAAGGCAGGACCTGGCTCCTCAACCTCGGCCTACTGCTGTTTGGGAGCAGATAACTCTTACGGGCTGTCCTGGGGGCAGTAGGATGTTTAGCAGTTATCTCTGGTCTCTAACCATTGTCAGCAGCACCCACTCCAGTCCTGATAACAAAAAATGTATGGAAACCCTTCCCAATGTCCCCTGGGGGCTGTGCTGGACCAAGGGCAGGATCAAGGTGGGCCCTGGCTGACATCAGCCCCGTCCTGGCCCAGCAGACAGTGGGGTACATGGCTATAGGTGTGTCCGTACCGGCTGATGGCCAGGAAGGCCCGGCTGTCTAGCTCCTGCCTGATGGCGCTTTGCAGACGGTAGGCGTGGCTGTGGCACGAGGCGTCCCCATAGTTGGCCAGCAACGTCACCAGCAAGAAAAGCATGTACACCAGGAGGCTCTGGGGGGCAGGGATGGCCCTGGGGTCAGCCAATCCCAGCCTGGCTGCTGTAACAGGGCAGGGCTTCTGGACAACCACTGCCCATGGCCAGGGTGCCTGGCACTGACAGAGGGCAGCATGACACCCTGCCAGTGTCCCAGCTGGGGGTAGACATACCATCTACCAAAGGCCAAGGAAGTCACGCCCAGGGCCCTGATGCTGGGCAGGAGAAGGGACAGAGCAAGGACTACAGGCAGCAGGAGTTGGGGTGTTAGAAGGGAACTGGCCATGGCTACAGAGCCCTAGACTGCCCACTGGAGGGCCTTCTGTGGGAGGAAGGGGTGCATGGGAGTCTTTGAGAAGGGCAGGACCTCTAGGGAGAGGCTGCACTGGCCAGGAGGTGGAGAGGCTGGGCAGGTGTTGGGCTGAGCTCACCCTCAGCATCCTGTGTAATCTCTTGACTTTTCGGGCTTCCTCCTTTGCCAGAAAAAGTGCGAAGCCATGGGGGGGCCGCACACGGGGCACTCGCTCACTCACAGGTGTCACAGCCGGGCTCTCGACCAGAGTGTCATCCTCATCGGGGTGCAGCCGCTT